TAATTAATAAAATTTTGGCGACTCAGTCCCACCACGTGCGCAAACGCCGCGACCCGCCTGGCGTGGATCGTTCTGTTGTGTCGTGTCCAAGCACAGCAGCAGCGAGGACGAATGCCGTAGTCATAAACACAACTTTCAACCAGCAGTTGTCCTGCTGTATCGGTTCCGCCTGATGACGGTCGCTTGCGTTTCGATCGAAACGTCGTGATTTATTATATTTCTACCTACGCGACTTTACCGAAAGAACCAAAGAGCATGCACGGATTCCCGCGGTCACGAAAGCTTCAAATCAAGATTAAAACTTTGAAACGTTGGTTAGCGCATCGTGTAGAGCTCGTCGAGAGGAATAGATCGCCGTGTCGTTCGCCTTCAGACATAAAATGACGTCGCAACGCAGTTCATGCTTGAGCCGGGGGCTTATGGGACCCCGGGGTCCCGCCATAAAGTTCAAATGAAGGAATTGCTAAACCAGGCACCGATATTTATAATACAGCCATGGACATCGCATCAATCTGTAACCACAATTTCACATTTTTCACCTTAACATTTTTTATTTTGTTACTACGGCGTCGATAACGTGCGCCGAATGTCTTAAATACAACTATGAGGTACAATTACAAAAGTTTTACCCACGGGTGGAAAGGTTTTTTTGTTTGTTTGTTGCTGTAACATCATATACCATTTATACAATACACGCGTTCTGTGAACCTGCCACACGTCAAAAACACCAATGCCGCCGAGCCGTACGATCGAAACCAATTCGCGGAGCGTCCCGTGAATCCGGCCGGCGGCTTCCTTCGACTCGAAACGTCGGAACGTCGCAACGTCTGGGAGCCAACCGACCTCGTTGCTGCTCTCCAGTACACCGTACACGTAGCGAGTTGTCCGTCGTGTGTAGTAATGTGCGCGCGTGTCGCATTTCACTAGGAAATTTTTGTACAAACAATGGAATAAATAAAAACGACGTGGAAGAAGTAATGATCAACGTGTGTAATTTGGAATCCAAAAGTGTGTTTTTTTTTCCCGCGATGGGCTTTTGCCACGCACGACTGCGGCAACCTACAGGAGTTGGAAGATTCAATAGGAAAAAAAATGTTGTTGGAGCTCCCTGCGATGCTTTCTCTCGAGAAATCAAATCGATAATTTAGTTGCAGATTCAACTCCTGAAGACGAATTTCTCAACCAGTAGCCCATCACTGAAAACCACACCTGGATCAAAACTGTAATGTTCGGAGAGGGCATGCATTCATGTAAACCTCCTTACTGCCCTTAAGCTCCCACCATAAACATAAAACGAATGGCTTGACTTACATTTAAAGTGAAACAACGCAAAACGTTTTGAGACCTCTGCTTAAAAGTAAACACGCTATCGCCAACATATATATGTTGAACTTCTTTCGCACCGTAAGTAGCCAACCATCCTAAATCGGAGGTTTGGGGGAAGGACAACAAACTATACACAAGTCTCGCATGCAAATGTAAACCCAGATTTACGTTAATGTCATGTATTTTTCTGCAGTAGACCAGCTGCTCCTATGTCTTGATCAAGTCTAGCAGGCTGCATCCGCGACCGGGTAAGTTGCACATTTGAGAGAAATACAGTGCGACACAATGTACCGTCACCCAACTAACCATTAGCAGCGTCACATTACTTAGTATGGACTGAACTTATGATATAAATATACATTTAAATCTAATTATCTACACAAACGCGCAATATCTTGACCTTTTGGGTTCTGCATACTTAGGATAATCACCTGGCTTCTGGAACAACAATAACAAAAACAGGCACAAACCATTCATGGGAAAAGGATACTTTGAAGTTCAAGGGTTTAAACGAGACACCCCCCCCCCCCCACCAGTGCGTGCTGCACATCATTTAGTCGTTCGTGCCGCGTGCGATGCCTTTGCTCGTGAACAGATCGTTTAAGCGACACGTAGAAACAAATGAACCTTGTCTCGCGTGACTGACACCTGTTAACATAAAATAAACGCCCTTTCAAACGACCGCTCGCTTTGGCAAGAGAAACCGAAACGATTCAAAACGTTTTTTTAAATAAAAGCGTCTCAAAGCACTAGACATCTCACCTCAACACATTTGACCAAAATCACCTGAAAAAGCAGCAGCGGATATCTCGTCAGATCTCAAGACGCCAAGCAATGTTGGGACTGGACAGGGGTTCGGATGGGAGACCAACGTGAAAAAAAATCGGTGCTCTAGGCTTCCGTGGAGCCACGTGATGGGCAGCGAGGGACCGGGCAGCACACCAAATAAACTGCTGTATCCTGTACCCTGTTGCTACAACATTTATGCTCTCCACCTCGACCAATTCTGCGCTGACCAGCGTAGTTGAAGCATGGCCATACAACCCCCGCAACTCCTCGCCCAGCAGTGGACTTTACATAATCATAAAATTATTGCAATCGCTGGGACACAGCTCGGTTGGCTGAGCAGCAAGTCTCCTCGCCTTAAATCCTGCCCAGGGTCAATTTATCACCAATATCTTCAGTGTAACGTGTAGGCTTTCGCGACCAATATCATCCATAACACAGGTTTTTCGGGTCAGATCGCATAAATGTGTCCTTAAACTCGCCACCACCCGACACAGCCCATTAGTAAGGTTTGTCATGTAAACAGAACATGCCAATTCGTTACTAGCACATTGTACTTACAATATGATTGTAAATGTTGGAGATTTTCTCTCCAACACACCGGTGTGCTGTACTCTTAACGAATTGGCATGTTCTGTTTACGTGACAAACCTTACTAATTGGCTGTGTCGGGTGGTGGCGAGTTTAACAGCACATTTATATAGTTACGCGATCTAACCCCAAACAAAAACCCTGTATTATCCAATATCTTAATTTTTTTCAAAAACTGATTCGTGTTTGTGACGAATTTTCGATTCCGCATGCGACACGGTTGCTTTTTGCACCGACTCCCATTTGCATCATCGCCGTGCTGTACTGCGTTGGCTTTGCTCGTCAGTTTGGCGACACACCCAAAAACTAAACGTCCTGCTCATCTCTCACCTGGTCAAACAAAAAATAAACTTGAACACACTTCCGTCTCCACCCCCCCCCCCCCCCCATAGAAAAAATGTGAAATTTCAACCGCTGCCTCAGTACCACCAATGCCGACGAAGACCATCTCAATTATCCTTCGAGCACGGCGATAGTCACGTTTAAAATGTTCGTTCCAGTAATTTACATCTTTACCGTATAGTCACAGACCAGATCCGCTAACGCCCGCAGAAGCGTGCATACCCATAACAATGCTTTTGCTCAAAATGATGCGAAGTTTCAATAAAAACACACAAAACCCAAAGTTACCACACCCCCGGAGCCTCACCGTTCGATAGAAAGAAGAGAAATGCAAATAACCTCGTAACAGAGCGACCACAAGCGCTGCCAAGTGTAAACCATAGACGTCACTGTAAGAAAGGTTACACAGTGCGACAATATAAACACGCCGTCTGGATTCATGCATTGCATGAAGTCAGAAACGATATAAACAACAAAAACATTCGAAATAACTCCATAAAAAAAAAGACACGTAACAACCAAGCGGCATTACAGCACCAACGTTAAAGTGACGGTTCCACTGTGGAAGGTCCCCTGACGGTTAATTTTAGTCCCGTCCAATATCTTTGCGGTGCGTGCTCGGGTTGGACCGCGTTGTTGTTCGGCGTGATGTGGTCCCACCGTTTCGCGTCACCTCCTGGCAGTTTGAATGAATTCAGAGTAACGCACCAAGTGTGCACTGCGCGTACAAGAGCACTCGCAGCATTATACAGGAAACTACATATTCTTGGTTCTTTCGGTAAAGTCACGTAGAAGGGAAACAATAAAAGAATAAATCATATATAAAACAATAAATGTATTTAATTTTATTGTTTCCCTTCTACGTGACTTTACCGAGAGAACCAAGAATATGAATCCCTGCAGTCACGAAAGCTTTAAATCGAAAGGAAACTACCTGTTCAGAAGAAGTGTGCTGTGGTCATTTATACGGCTTAGAGCTTTTCTGTGATACACAGCGTGTATTTTTGCGTGTTGACGAAACTTTTGGTTGCTGGCCTGCACCAATTGTTGCGTTTAGTTCTCGTCGTTTATAGATTTGAAGATTTTAATACTTCAGGATGTTCCCGGCTCGTGGAGCGAAACGTCGGACATCGTGCCGAACACTAATCGGAGAGCTTAACGGCGCAACTGTGAATAACTACGTGGTTGTAATCAAGTCAAACGTTTATCTTTGCGTCTTTTAACGGTTATGCGTATGATTTAATTGCCGAACCCTGCAAAAAATGCCCATCTTGTTGGACAGAAGCAGCAGCAGTGGCAGAAACAGCAGCAGCAGCAGCTACAATTCAATCAACGAATCACAGCGGAAATGTGGATTGATTTTGTTTGTTAATCAATGGAGGAACGGACAGTAATAACCATTATTCGGAGACCGTATTTCGCGAAATTAAATATCGTCTCTGCAACGGGTCAGTTAATACGATCCGCATTGCCAATATTACAACGAGACAGCTTAAATGGGAGGGAGCTCTCCAACTCAACCGCTGTCTGAAAACGAAAAACGTCCAACAGAGGACATCTCTGCTTGGTCGACCAATCGGGACCGGGGCTTGCGCAATCACGCAACGGGGTCATTAGAATGCGGACCTGGTAAACGGAAATATTAACACTGAATCAAATATTTGTCCACTACATCCTCAATATTACATTCAAAAACTGTACATATACATTATATATACCGTACTTTAAACGTTAAATTTAACAACCCATCCTTGTCTATCACCTCCGCTAACTTACTCCACCTGCAACAAACCCCACGGTCCACAATATTCCACACGCAGACTCCCACACTTGCCCAATATACACGGGCTCGCATATATATTAAGACGATGTAACATTCAAAAATATAAGCATCTTATAAATGTGCCACCCGGCGCCAGTAACCGGTGACAAACGTACGAGGGCGGTTGCTGATCGAAAAGGATAGGTTGGGGGCTAAGCAAATTACTTGAAATTCATGTAAATCTTGTCACCGTTCAGCATTATTGCCGTCAAGTATGCGGACTGGTTATTACTCGCGTGTTTGTCAGTTACAGCCCGATACCCTGCGCAATTATCCCCAAAATTGGACAAAGGGGAGAGCGCATTCTGCGGGAACTCGTCGTATCGATCGTCAAGGCTTGGCTCAAGCCGACCACACAGTATGAAATACGCGCAAATAAAAGCCGATCTCCACAGGAACAAATTGTAATACAGTATACGACTGCTCACGATTAATTGTGGTGCAGCCCCAATTGTTCTTGCTGTGGTTGGAATGAAGAGACTCTGTTTACGCACAAATTAACGACCGTTTAACAAAAGACGTCTAAACACATCATCTCACACTTGCAAATCACTTAAAGAAACAAGTAAACATCTGCTGGCAGCGTAGCGCCGATTCTGCATTAACCGAGAAAGTGGCTGGAATGCTCTTGAAGGCAGCTGCCTGGGTGTGTGTGCGCGTGTACGTATGACTTCGCTTCCGTGTACACACGTGCACGCTGGCGGTAGTGCAGTGGATGACCCACCGAGCTACCAACCAGCCGATCTGCGTTCGATTCCCGCTCACGGTGACGAATATATGAACCGGTTCCCTGGGCCGCCCCTAGGTCGACTCCACCATAACCGAGTGCCTGGTATGGTGTGTAAATACCTTGTGTGCCGTGTCAGAATTCATAGGTTAACAGTACTTACCCCAACAGCTTGTGTTAGCTACATTGGGGATCTTTTTCTATCTGTTCATGGTATGAAGCAAATGCTATTGAAGGCGGCTGCCTCTGTGTGTGTTTGCATGCTATCATGATGGTGCATGCCACGTTCAGCTATGGACAACTCAGGGCGTCAGTGCTCTTATCCCCACAAGTCGTATTACGAGGCATCTAAACCAGGAGATTTTCCTGCCAAAGCTGGGATAAATAGGAACCAAAATGCATCTCCGTGGAGTGGAATTAGCGTCAAAACACAAAACGAGTTACGAACAGACAATCGGCTGCGTCAGCACGAGACGGAGAAGAGAATCGCTCGCTTTGACTGCAATTATTCACTATTAAGTCACAGGGTCTTAATCCAGTTGTGGGAAAAGCAGCAAGCTACATGCCCAGGTAGTAGCCCACCAACTGCACATCATGCATACCCCCCCCCCCCCTCCACTGCCTTGCTCCACGTTGGCCTATTACACAACAGCAAGAGAACTGCAACTCAGCGGAGCAGCGCACGGACGCGCAAGGCCTGAAGCCGAAACGGCGCAGCGCACTGGCAAGAGCTGGGCAGTGAACGTGCCAGAGCGGTGGACAGCTTGCCGCTTGTCGCAGAGGTTCGCCCTGGTTAATACCGCGGGACCCGATTAAGTCGTAAATACGTGTCACAATAGACTCCGTCACGTTATTCGAAAAAGGTGTGGGCCATGTTGTGCTGGCGTCACGGTCCAAATCTAAAAACGTCACTTGCAAATGACCTAATTGGGTAAAAGCACAGGACAACATCGCCCTCCTACTCTCAAATCATTTCGTTCGTATTTTTTTAACGAGGCGGGAACTCGTTCAAGACACCAGGACAGTCTCATTTGCGAGCGTGACCTGGGTAAACCGCTGCGGATTTTCGTCTGCGAAACCCAACGCCTTCTACATATGCCTTTGCGCTAACTGCGCGAATAACAAACGTGAGAATGATGATTTAACCTCAACGATTTCAAGCGCTGCCCCTCCCCCCGACAAGGGCAACCGATTGACGGCCGCCCCCCCCGTCCCCGTCCCCAGGAGCCGCGCGCCAACGGTCGGCGTCTCTCCAGAGAGATGACGCGCGGTGCTCGTATCTGGTCGGGCAAGCTCTCCCCCCCTTCCCTGCCCTGCCAGGCCATTATCGGAAGTAGTCGAGTCCCCTGACGAGCAGGAACTTCTCAAGGAAGAGCTCGGAGTCTAGCACGGCGATGTGGGCCGCGCGGCCGATGATGGAGTTCGCCGTGTTGGGCAGCGCGTGCACCACGTCGTAGCGCACCAGGCGGCACCGCTCGGACGCCAGCACGGGCCCAAGCAGGTTCGCAATCATGTCAGCGTACACTGCACCTGGACGGAGGTGGGGAGGGGCAACGAAACGTGGCTGTTTCACACAAATGTCACAATCGTCATCGCTGGCAACGGTCGATCTGCGACCGGTTTAAGCACAAGCACCTGCGTGGATTAGAAACCCGGGATCTCAGCAATGTCAGCAAAGAGATGTGACATCTAAACCACCCCGTCATCTCTTACAAAATAATTATGTTCGGCCGTGATCAATCCCCTCCGAACGAAGGCCTCCCCAAGCCACCTCTCACCAGCCTTTGATATTACTAATCTGCCTAGCACCTGGATCGATTTCAAGGGTAACAACGGTTTTGATTTGTCAGCGGGCTGTACGTGTACAAAGGGTCGCGGGAGAGAGGGTCTGCAGAGGTCCAGCCACTCACCCAACTGCTTATCCTTGAGCGCCAGCTTGCACATTTCAATGCGAGCCGAGTGGTAGGGCACGTAGCGATCCTGCAGGGAGCCCACCAGCACCACGTTCCTGAAGTGCTGCAGGCCTAGAGGCAGGGGGCAGGAAAGATCCGCGAGTTTACGCACGCCCTCACGGGAACACAGCCAACGACCAGCACGTGCGAAATAAACCTACAGCGGATTTTAACCAGGGTTATAATATCGATAATCGCGTGTGTCAGTAATCGTTTATAGATTCAATTATCGATGCCCAAAAGTCACGGAATCTACAATGAAATCCAGTTGGATTCTAGAAAACGATGTAACGCGAGTGTTGTCGAAACCGCACATCGCGTTTGCATGCGACGGGTCACGTGACACCCTATTACATACTAAATCTATATCAATCAAACCATAAGACATTTGCCAATCCAGGCCTCACTGCGCCGTGTCAGTCATGGAGCTTATTTGACCATAATTCACCACGCTAGTTGGTGCTGGTTAGTGCTCAGTAAACTGACAAGTTTACATTTTTTTTTTATCTTGCATACAATTATCGACAACGCAAAAAACTAAAATAAACAAAGCTCGTTTTAACTTTTGCTTTTTAGCGGCTATGAAGAATGTTTCTGGAGTGTGGAAGGCTAAAATGTGTCAAGTGTGGTTTGGCTAGAGAATGCTGAGATGTCTCATCGAAGGCCAGTTAAAAAACCCAGATGATGCCATCACCTGTGAAATGCTACAAAGCAGAATTGACCAAGGACTTGATCACGCCAACTCCTGCTATCCAGAATGGAGCGTCTAGCAAACCATCGATTAAGATTAAAATCGATTCTTACGCTCAGAATACACGCGCGTCAAATCATGAGTGTAAGAATCCATTCTTAATTTTTTTACGTAAGTTATTTCCCCAATTCCACGGACACGATTGGTGCATTTTTTCAGCAGTAACTTATTTATATTTACGTACAGTATTACTGTACACAAGTATGTTCGATACAAAATAAGTATAACAAGCGTTATACAATCATGCGCACCCCCATGGACTATGCAATGCCTTCTAACACCCATTTGTCTTTGGAATAATTTACTTAACAATGCAGAAGCAGCAGAAAGGCTATTGGGGCAAAATACATACGCATATTTGCTAATCGTCCTTTCCCGCTGTGGTTTGTTTCACCGAATTTGGAGCAACTCTTTTGATCAATTGGGCTATTTTGAAAAGGGCAAGTCCCCAATATCGGATCATCTTTTTGAGAGTTGTAATGCTTCCCCGCCCCCCCCCCCCCCCATTACAGTGGGACAGAAACAGCCAATGCATTAATGCTTTCAACCTTAGTCTGAGGGCAATTAGAACAAATTTGGCCCATAGCTGTTCGTATGCCAAATGAGACGATGTGGGGCAAAACTGGCACCTGGTTTTTGGCTGAGCTTGTAGAGGAAGGTCTGCCGAGGGTCAGGATGGTCTCTGCACGTCAGCTGGAGCAGCGATCCAGACTTCTTCCACTTCTGCATGAACCACAGCCCTGACGCACAGACGCACGGACGATGTACAAACAATTGATGATCGATGACGCAGCGCAAAGAATCAAGCCTCGAAAGAGTTACCTTACGTGCACGCTGTCAGTTGCCATGCTTTCCAGTTTTTTTGCATCAATAAATAAATGAACAGGGACTACACAAAGCAGCAATCGTCACCCCATACCTCCAGACTGATGCCCCTTTTCTGGCCAAATGCTGAGTCACCTTGTGCCCAACAGGGACAGCTGCCACTAGGAGTGCCCTTTTAAATGTTTGAGATGTGTGTAACAAAAAAAATTGTGATCATAACAATAATTATAGGGATAATTATTTTTGGCGCGCAAAATGAGCAAGATAGTGAAGAAATGAGTGAGCGAGCAGATGACCAAGTGAGCGACTGACTGCATGCGTGAGTGAGCGAGCGAGCGAGCGGACGGTACCAGTGTTGACGAGAGCGCTGCTGTTATATAGGGTGCCGAGATGTGGGCCGGACAGTGACAGGAAGGTGTGCAACTTGGGCAGGAAGCAGCGAAAGCGTGGCCTTGTCAGCACTGAGCGCACGATCAGCGTCCCCAGCGAATGTCCAATGAAGCTACAGTAGCGGCAAAAAAAGAAAAAAAGAACGACATCAGTGAGAAGCCCTACACACCGCACCGAGATGCTGGTCCCGCTTAAAATCCACGAGTGCCGCAATGTTGAAGGAAAATGTTAAAAGATTCATCTTCACAAACTTTCTTGTACGCAATTATGAGTTTTAACGAGGTAAAGGTCCAAGCCCTGATTATTGCTTTCTCACGCCACTGCTGGTAGAAGGGCCTCCATGAGAGGGAACTCCCAGAGAGCCCCTCTGGAGGGAATTTGCGGCCTATTCTTCAACGGCGGCCTGACGTGGCAGCACCCACACTCTAACCCAGCACATGCGACCTACCGATGGGCTAACTGTGGTGTACTCATTTATACTGCTGTAAGGAAATGAAAGGGGGGAATTTAATAAAATTACCTCATTGTTTCAACCGTTGCAAAGAGGGAATGAACCGGCGGCCTCTGGATTGCAAGTCCAGTGTGCTAACCATTACAGAATGGCAGCATCCATTACATTTAGAAAATAACTGACAAGTTAATTATTGTACAGATGTAATAAAACACACACTAGTCAGTAAAAAGGTTTTTCTATATGCAGCCTCCATAGGTAGGCAGGGAAGCGCATTGGCAACACTCATGCCTCACAGCAAGGACCTGGGTTCGATTCCTGAATCGGGCGCCTTTCTGCGTGGAGATTGTATATTCTCACCCATGTTCTACATGGGTGTCTTCCGGGTTCTCCATTATCTGTCCACAGCTAAGAATATCAGAATATTTATTTATACTGGAAGTATCTGAAGGGCTATACAGCTCTTTTTCATACATGTCCAGTAGCATATGTCATTGGCCAAACGTCCCAATGCAGGATCCTGCCAGAAGGAAATGAGGATTTATTGTATATTATTAAGCACGTCACGACGTTTTAACGTCTAATATATTTATCCGGCTATATTGAAGCAGTGTACCGACCTGATCTTGCACAGCGTGAGGCTGTAGATCTGAATGTGCTGAACTATTTCATCCAGCAGGCGATCCGTCATCGTCTCAAAATCGGCAAATGTGTCGTTCTGATTGGCGTGCACGCATGCACACAGACAGACACCGGCGGGATGCAGGGCTCTCATTACTCCCAGCGATTCATTCAGCGCAAAGTAAGCAACTCGCACCATTAGGTGCCGAGTCATAACATGTGACTTTGTGCTATTTTTTACGTCGCTGAAACACAATTATAAAAAAAATGTTCGATATTCGCGGGTCAAATTTTTTTTTCCTTCACAATTTGACGAAGAAATTGGGCATTAAAATGACAGAAACATATTTATGAAGCAAGCAGTTAATATGTATTGCTGGCAAACTCACAGACCACTCCACAAATTTCAATACAGTACCATTTGAAAGAAGTGTGGTTTGCAGTTCATGTGAATGAGGTTGAAATTACATGGAAGTGTTTGTTACCTTTGATCTGACAATTGAATAAATAAGCAGAGGATACATGATCCTTATGGTGGTACCCCGGGGTACCAAATAATACAAAATGGCCGAGGCAATTAAATATTTTATTTCTGGGACACTTTTTTTCCAGTGGTGTAACTTAACTCCGCGACTGGGGTACCGATCAATCCGAAATCAGTGCTACTCCGCAATGTCAAAACGTAGCAAGGACGATTGCGCCGAAACCCTGAACGCTCGTACGCACCGCAGTGATGCATCGTGAGTACAGCTCGTCGAGAAGAGTCGATTGCCGCATCGCCGATCATCAACAGACTAAAAATGACTGCATCACGGACGTTATGCGAGAGCCGGGGGTACCGCCATAAGGTTCACATCGCGTTCACATCTCCCTCTCCACGTACAGAACATTGAAGTATTCCTTACACAACCCATCAGCCATACCATGGCCTTCTTCTGGGAGTGCATACTTTCAGCAGCTCTTTTTTTTTCAAGACGAGCAAACTCTGGACTGGTTTCAACATGCAGTGTCTCATCAGCAGTCAGACTTGCTTGAATCAATGTTGGTTAACTGATGCTTATTACGAGGCAAGGACCATCTCACTACAATATGGGTCCTATGTGATTAAATATCCACTACTCTTGTTTACAATACCTCACCTGGTTTCTCTCTGACATGAGGAAGTCAATCTTGGCTGTTGGGAGGCCCAGCTCAATGTAGGTCTTCACCAGACGCAAGTCGGCACTGTTCCCTAAACAATGGCACAAAAAGCAGGCTGGCAGTGATACTACCACATAGCATTTAGCAGTTGCCCTGCGCAGCGTCGAAATGCAATCACAAAAAACAAAACTACGCGAAGACAGAGGAAAGTGGGGTCTGGGGAGAGGTGGGGTCAGGGCAGGGAAACACAGAAAAGAGGCCAGAAATGAACCAAAAAACTGGGGCGCTAGCATCGACAACATTAAGGACAATGAGCTGCGGGGGACAGTCAGGGCAACACTCACACGGGTCCCAGGGGGGACGGAGGCCCATTTTCGAGTCCCACGGAAAGCCACATATATAACACTGTCTAAACCCGACCGTGAAATTACTGCAGACTATCATCATCATCATCATCTGTGAAGCGTAGCGCCGTCTGGATAGCCTCGTGCTATTATTATAACCGCCAAAACCAAGTGTGCTAATCATGCTTTGATCATTGGGGGGTTGGAGGGGCTGCAGTTGTGGCGCAATCACGAAAAGAGGTGCGGGGGGGGCATCCTCAGGGAGGCCCATTTGCTGGCGATAACATACCGGCCACACAATTTCAGGATCTCAGACGCAAACATCCTCCCGTGCCGGCCGGGCCCCATTGCTGGACGCTCCCTTGCACACGCGCATCGGTGACATTCGAACGCATGTCTCATACCATCCAGGCCGTGCACGCACACCACCAGATGAATGGCGTCGGCGTCGGCGAGACCGTCCGGCGTCTCGGGCGCGAAGTAAGGCACGGCCGAGGCGAAGGTCGCCTGGTCGCTGTACAGGAAGCCCGGGAACTTGAGTTGCTTCTTCACTTCCTCCTTCGCTCGCATGAAGCTGGGGTTTAAGCGTTAACACACGTGCGGGGAACATCAGCACGGAGCGTTGCCACTGAATGGCTTTCCAAGCTCGACATACGGTTATGAACTCGACCGCTAATTTTAAGCGCCGAGGGAAAGTGGAGAGAGTGTGCAACGTTAAGCATTATGCGACAACTTTGACCTGGGATGTCACCAACTTTCTCTGCAAGGGGTGCCAACCGGTGGCGTTCACTCGTCCAGTCAATTAAAACAATATAAATAGTAAATGTTTACAGCAGTAGTAATATGCATATACTCGATCGACAGCTCTACATTGTTAAAAATATTATAGAAATTGTAATAATGAGTGTTGTATAATAGAGTTTAAACTGAACTTGAAGCTGCACCTAGGAAGTGGAGCAAAACGTTGGGACATCAAACTGGACAACACGCGATACAACCTGAATAATACATTGGCCATACATCAGAACCAAGAAAACCGACATCAGTTTGAATTTAGTCACGTCAAACATTCTACCCTAGATAATTATAGACACAAAACAAACATTCGCATGGTGACATTTAAAGCAGAATTACCATTGCAGCTGCGGGTTGTCATCCACGTCTTCTTGACCCCAGGGCGATCCCTGGGCGGCCGATGAAATTGGCTGCCTTGTGATAATCATCGCCTCTGGCGTCTCGGGGCTGGGGTGGAGCAGTTGGGCGCGTGAACCCTGAACTGTGGAGCCTCCGCCCCCACTGCCCCCGCTGCCCCCGCCGCCACCACCAATCGCCTTCCGCGGCACCGCCATCCCAGAGTGGACGGGCGAAGTGTCTGCGTCACGTGGCGCTGACGAAAACGCCAGGCAGGTGGGTGTGCAGCCGACGCAAGCGCCCGTGCCGGGCGGTGCGAGCATCGCCGCCCCCGTCGAACTGTCAGACGGCACGCCTCCTACCCCGCCGTCGAAGGCGGGCGATGTTCCGCCGATGGGCTTCAGTACCGTCGCACTCTGGCTGAGGATCACGCTGCTGCCGTGCATGGGCGAGAAGCCGTCGCTGAGCGCGCCGTCTTCCGTCGCGCTGTCGAACGCCGTCCTGTCCTCATCCTCGTCGTAGTAGCCATTCTGGATCATCTCCAGGTCCTCTGTCTCGGTGTCCGAGTCTTCCCCGTCCCCGCTCGTTCGCTCCGCTTCGCCCTTCGAGGGACTGCTCATCTCGCTGCCGCTGGCATCAGGGCGGCCGTCGCCTGCGCCGCCGGCGCTGTTTCGTGGCGAGAAGTGATTTTCCACGATGCAGAGTCCAGTGGCGCTGTTGTTGTTGTTGCCGCGAGGGATGGGGGGGCAGCCTGCCCCAGCTGCGCAGTCCGTCTTCGCGCGCTGGTCCTGCTCGCTTGAGAAGGCGAGCGACTCCGCCGCGGAGTGCGTGATGACGTTGAGCGCGTTGTCCGAGCGAGACAGCTTGAGCGCCACGTCGTGCTTGAGGCACGGCTCTGTCGTGGGCTTTTCGAACCGCTCGGCAGCACGGCCAGAGGAGGAAGGGGAGGGGGAAGCGAGGGCGCCGAAATGCATGGAGGCCGAGGACTTGATGGCGCGGGACAGCAGCACGTCCCCGGCTGCGTCCTCGTCGCACGGCAGGGAGCTGATGGAGGCGAGCGACGACTGCACGCCGCTGCTCAGGAAGCTGGCGCTCTCTGCCCGCGTCAGGTTCGGTTCGTGTCGCGACTGCGGCGCATCCGACGCGCCCTTTGGCCTCTGCGTCGTGCGACCCTGGGGCACCTCCTGGCTCGGGACCTGAACCGCCTGGGAGCTGCGATCCTCGAGTGACGTAGCCCCGATGAGGCAGAAGCTCAGCTCGCTCTCAATACCAGAGTCGGAGAACACGAGTGAGGAGCTTTTAAGCAGGGACACGTCACCGGTTATTGAGGGCACCGTGCTGCGTTCTGACACCGGAGCTTGGGCGACGGTCTCTTCCGGCTTCGTGCGCTTGTTGCCGCCCTTCACGTCACGAGGCAGGGTGAAGAACAAACTCTTGGTGTAGTCTGGCGACCATGGCTCCGAGACGGGGTCAAGGGAAGGCAGCGTGACCGCCTGCTCAGTCACGTGCTCACCCCGAGCGGCGTGCGTCCTCGTGGGCGTGAGCAGCGTCACTTTCTCTCCCCGGTACGGGTCGCTGCGGCTCGGCGTCACTTCGATCCGCCGCAATCCGGACGCTGGGGCCGGCACCGCCTCGGGTCGGACGACAGTCGCCGACAGCGATCGCGTCGGGTGGGGCCGGTACGTCAGGCCCACGGCGGAGGGCACGGCGGCGCTCTTGGCTTCGTTCGTTTTGTTCCGCAGCAAGCTCGTCTCGGAGGAGGTGCGTGACTGCGAGCCGGCCTGGCCAAGATGCTTCAAGCCCGAGAGTCCGTGCGAAAACAGCGCCTTTATCCCCGACTCGCTTAAGTCAGCCGCTTCAGCTTTCGAATTGGCTGCCTTTGGAGATCCCTCCGGACTTCCAAAGGGGGCGCACTTCTTAGGGCTGGGAAAGCATTTTGTGGGCACTGCCGCCTTGGATGCCTTGCCCTCGGGTGAGCTGCTGTGATGGTCGGATTTCAAGTACTTCTTGAAGGAAGCCTTGGAAAAGCTGCCCCGCTTGGCGAGAGATGCCGGCAGCGTGGCGTAGCGCTGGTCGGCGTCCAGCGAGCGCTGGGGCGAGCGTTGGGGCGAGCGTTGGGGCGAGCGTTGGGGCGAGCGTTGGGGCGGGAGTTGTAGCTTTGCGTCACCCGTTGCGGCGTCACCCTCCAGATGCCGGTAGCCCAGTAGCACCACGGAGCAGTCTTCGTCTGGCGTGTCAGTTGAAGGCGACCCAATCGTGAGATTACCACTGCTGCCTCTGCCACCTTTCCGCCGACTGTTAATGAATGACAGGTACAAGTAAGAGGGTTACAGAAAGATAACTTCATTGGCTGTATTCTTCCTTTTTGATGAAATTCACACTGACCACAAAAGATATTCCTTACAAAAACTATAAAGAAATAACCAATATCCATTGAGCTGGGTGTAATGGCGCATGCCGGTGATCCTGTGCTTTGGAAGCAATGGTTGGTTTGGCACTATCCACGATTTTATTTCGTCCAAGGCCATCCCCTCTCTTGTCATGTGCATTTATGAAGCATCCAAGCTCCCCTTGCTTCAAGAAGGCAGCTGATGGCAACATCTTTTCTGATGAGCGTACGGTGAACTCTTGAGAGCATGGCTCCGCGCCTACGAGTTGCGATCATTAAATGTGTACATTTTGTGAGACTTGCACGTGTGAAAATAAAATTGTTGTACTATTGTCATCGTATTGGGAACGTGGGAGCAGATGGCACCAACCTGGCGCTGAGCTCGTCCGCCTTGTGCTGCCTCGCCCTCACCACGCTGTCGGTGGTGTCACGTGGTTCCACGGGGGCCCGGCTGTCGCCTCCTCCTCCGGTGCCGCCACCAAGCTTGGGTGACCGCTGGCGGGCGGCGGAACGGGGAGAGCCGCCCGAGAAGGAAGTGGCGCGGCGCTGCTCCCGGTTCTCGGGCCGCTCGATCTTGATGGTGAAGGAGGAGCGGCGTGCATTCTCCCGCACCTCCTTCCAGGAGATGGAGGCGTCCGCCAGGTCCATCCCAGCGTCTCCAGAAAAATTAAAAATAAAGAGAATTTGGAAAATCACTTGAAACTTTTATGGATGCTTAGTGTAAATCCCTAACAGCTCATAGGTGCGCAAACAGTAATATGGGCGAGCAAGAATGCTGAACCTGGTTGTTCATCCACTGCTTGCTGAAATCAACAGCAGAGAGACCTTGCTTTTGTCCTCTCCACCCCTCTACCCATCTTCCAAATGGCACTTGCACTTAACACACCCAGCTGAATAAGCCGTAATGGACCATCAACTGCCGCTCTATGCATTACCGATTTTTTTTTTTCCCCACAAATAAATCTTCAGCGAATGCCAATCTCGTGCAGCCCGTGGAATGGTTTCTGGCCACCGGCCAATTGCTGAAGCCCTGCTTCGCTGAACACATCTCAGGGCTCTGCCTGCGAGAGCTCGACACTCCTCGATCGCTAAGGAGCAGCTGCAATGAAAAGACACCAAACCGTTGCAGTGCAAAGCACCCACTCCTCTTGTGTCTACAGCGGCGAGTGTGAAACCCCCGGAAATTACTATCTCCTGAGCCAAGATTTGTGCATCATGAGACAGCCAATCCGGACACGAGGCTCGCAGGTTTGGGCCCAAATACGATTTTTGTTGGCTGAATGTATAGAAAGTCCTCCCTTTTAATGCTCATGCTCTGTGCCAACAGCTCTCACTTGCAGTTTTGTAGGGGGCTAATACCAAGATGGAGCACGACGCCGGCACTGCCGGGACCCTGGGAATGAATATATTTTAACCATTATCATCATCATCCAATGTAACAATCCACCGTACGCCTGCACGCATGAGCCGATTTCATGGCTCCGTCTGCGCAGCAGCCGCATCAACCACCTGCGACTAAAGAGGGTTGTTACGTGAATGTTGTTCAGGAGGAGCAGGGAGGTGGTTTTCATTCGCACACACTACTGGAGTCTCACCTTGGGTCACGGAGTGAAGGTACCGGTCCTCAAATATGATGGGCAGTAAAGTGAAGTCCCCATCAAGCTCCAGGCACTCGAGGGGAAGGTTGGGCAGGCTGCTCAGGTACGGGGAGTTCTTAACCACCGAGGCAATGTATGCGTGGCTTTGTGCACTACAAAGACAAAGAACACCCGTATAACATTAACAGACTGTCAAGCGAAGTGTTGTCAGCGAGTGCCGATGAAGACCGGCACGACAAACGCCCGGCCACGTTTGTCTCCCGAGTGGCGATGTTTACACACAGCACTACACCCGCGCACATAGACGAGTATATTCAGTACGGTGCCACACATTCGACTGTCACGTATCTGCCCCGACCAATTAACAGCCCACACCCAGCGCAGTGTTTCTGCATGGTGCAACTGTCATTTTCTATAGGTTATTCGCAAATACGACTTCTTCACATACGTTCATGTATTTCTCATCTCGCGTACATTTGCTTACTGCAAAAATTAAGGAAAAGCGACTTGCCCATGTTTAAAGTAGTTTGCTCTTTATGTAGATTTGTCCAGTCACATCTTGACTTAAAGCTTTCGTGACTGTAGGAATTCATATTATTTGGGCCTTTCGGTAAAACCACGTAGATCGAAAAAATAAAAATATCTCGACGTTTCGATCGCAACGCAAGCAATCGTCCTTCCTTTTGGAAGAGGTATGTAGATGAGATGTTCGTCATCTGGCCACATGGCCTACCAGCTCTGGACCAATTATTCAACCACATCAATTCCATACACCCAGCCATCAAATTCACCATGGAGGTGGAAAAGGATGGCAAGTTACCATTCATGGATGTTTTAATCGAAAAGAGACCAGATGGCTCAATGGAACACTGTCTACAGGAAAGCCACCCATAAAGATGCCTACCTAAAACCTGACTCCCACCACCATCCATCCCAGAAGAATTCCCTCATCAAAACTCTACACCATAGAGCTCGATGTATTTCCGACCGTTATCACCTAGCCAGTGAACTGGAACACGTACACCAAGCTCTCAAGATGAACGGATATTCAGACTACACAATCCGTAAAGCTATCACTCCAACTATTGGGAAAGAACCGAGGAACCAATCAAAACCATCACCTTGCCATACATAGCAGGGGTCACCAAAAATGAGCAAACACAAGATCCAGGTTTTATTCAACACAGTACATAAAATTCGTGATCTGATCCCATCTGTGAAGGATGTGATCCCTGACATGTAATACCCCGGCGTCTACAAACTAAGCTGTGTCTGCGGCAGTAGTTACATTGGGGAAACTAAGCAACGTGTCTCGGACCGTGTTCGTGAACATAAGGCAGATCTGAAACACGGTAGGACCAATACCTCAGCCGTGGCTGATCGTTGTGTTAATGCTGTGGCCACACACGAAATGTATTTATCCAAGACGAAGGTACTCTGCAAACCCACTGGTTATCAGCAAAGATTCGTTCATGAAGCCGTCCAGATATATAAACACAGACACAATTTCAACCGAGAAGACGGGTACAAACTGATCAATCATCATTTGATTGACAGGGGGTCAAATACTTATTTCCCTCATTAAAATGCAAATCAATTTATAACATTTTTGACATGTTTTTCTGGATTTTGTTGTTGTTATTCTGTCTCTCACTGTTCAAATAAACCTACCATTAAAATTAAAGACTGATCATTTCTTTGTCAGTGGGCAAACGTACAAAATCAGCAGGGGATCAAATACTTTTTTCCCTCACTGTACATTAACAGTTTAAATGCCTTTCCATTAACAGCTTAAATGTCTCACTAACACAGTCACCGTTGCTCGTTTTGCTTGATGTGGCGGTGGCTCTACGATCTTACATTGACATGCTCATCTCTCACAATACTAGGGCCACCCCCGCAGCTTCGGGGGTGGCCCTAGTACACCACCGTGCGCAACGTCGTTGCGCACGGTGGTGTACCTGTATATTTTTTCCTAGGTGTTCACAAATCTCATCTCTTTATATAATCGCCACCTAAACTAAAACTATTAAAAAAATGTACTTACTGGGTAAGGCCCACTGAGCTATATAGCTCTTCTTCAGAAGCGACCTTGCCACAAATGATAGCTCAACGAAGTGGCTTATCACGTGGAAATGTACATCAGCCAAATACTCTAAACGCACGTGGATTCTAAATGTGGAGGGGAGAACCGGAGGACCCAGAGAAAAATCCGCGCAACCACAGGGAGAACAACTCCAAATATACAGGCGTCAGGGTTGGGATGAACCCACGACCTCCTGCATGAGGCGAGGTAGTTATCTCGCCACCGTGGTTGCCACTGTGTTCCCTGGTGAATCGGATAGGTGACTTGATACTGCATTCAGATTACAAACACAAAAGGGTGTTTCGATTTTATAGATACCCCATTAAATCAATCTTGATAATTAACAGTGGAAACTAAATTTACATCAAAGCCTCTACACGTCTGAATACACATTAAATAGTTGTACACTCTCTTGACACATTGCCCAACAAGACGGAGTGCTTTGCTCACATTCAATGATTCTCAAGCAGAGGTCAACACCGCATCACGGTTTGTAAACGCATTCGCTGTACTGTTACAGCAAAACAAAAGTTTACAAAACCCGTGCGCGTGATCAGTGCCTGAGGAAGGCTGCTGCCCTTACTGCATCTCCTGGTAAGTGAGCGCCGACTGCAGGGAGTGCTCCATGCAGAAAAACGCCTCCGAAAACCTGCGAACCTGAAGGGCAAAACAGTTATCCGACGTTAGCCGGCGAGCCCTATTACCCCACCTGGGTAATCAATACAGCAGCAGTTTGTTTGTTGAATTTCTTTCGCACCGTACGTAGCCAACCGTGCTCGTCGGAGATGCCGGGGACAACAAACTAAAGGAGTAATCAAGGCCCCCTCCTGGTACAAAAATTCCCCCGGGTCACTCTCACAGAGGCTACAGCGAGCGCTCGAGTTCTCACCTGGTAAATCAGAATAAACTCGAAGCCTGTTAAAATTCATCATCACGGTGCTGCATGTAAATGCACAGGCCTTTGTAAACCCACTGCTTAACGAGGGACTCCCCACGCCGTGTGGGTCAAGGGTGCTATTACTTCAGCACACTTGCCGGTGAGGGTTGGTGAAGGAGGGAAGCGTAGACGTGGGAGGATAGAAAGGACAGTACAACAATAGAGTTTGCTGTATACTGCCCATGTAGTCCCAGAACCCATGACAACCTCTTAGTTAAATTTTGATTTAAAGCTTTCGTGACTGCAGGGATTCATATTCTTGGTTCTTTCGGTAAAGTCACGTAGAAGGGGAAACAACAAAATAATAAAAATATAAAACAATAAAATTCTCACGACGTTTCGACTGCAACACAAGCAATCATCATCAACACAAGCAATCATCATCAAAATAATCATTCGCGTCACTGTGGGGTTATATTATTCATGGTGGTCACCCAATAAAGCACCGTCCAAGTTTAAACCCAACGTAGCTCACGAGAACCGACAAGGCGAGACGCATTCGAACATTACGTTGCAATCGCACGATACATCGTCGTAGCCTCATCGCGGCGACCGTCGTTAGTGCAACAAAGAATATATCGAACGCGCGCAAGTTCCACCAGCCCTGCTCACCCGCGAGTGGTGGTGCTCACGGGCGAGGTAGCCGGTGACGTCGGGGCGCAGGGCGACGCTCTGCAGGAACTGCGCCCAGAGCGCCATGAGCAGCGAGCAGAGCTGGGCCAGGTCCACTGTGATGGCCTCCACCAGCTCCTCCGCACTGGTCAGCCCCTGGGTCCGTTTGCACGGAGCGAGCACACGCAGATGCAGACACGCGCGCATGTGTAAGCGTGTTATAAAGATAAAGATCCCCCCCCCCGTATAGCCTTAACAGACTGGTGGGGAAAGTACAGTTAGTGAACACCTTACATAGGCCTAGCATGGCACACGAAGAGATGGGTGTCTCCCCAGGGGCAATGTTTACACACCACACAAGGTACTCATTTGAGGCAGAGTCGGCCTAGGGGAGGTCCAGGACCGATACAGATAATTCGTCACTGGTGTTGGACGTGAGCGGGAATCAAACTCGGGTCACCGGATTTGTAGCGCAGCGTGCTAACCGCTACACTACCGCGTGTCTGTGCATACACAGACACGCAGACACACGCATGCATACACAAACACGGATATGCATACATGTGCACACACACACACAGCCCCACATGCACAAGTGTACGGAGGCACGTGAATATGTACACATAGGGAAGGTGCTGACAACACTGAGCGCACTCTTTAAAGGGCCCCACTAGCTGGTCTTCTCACCTGTACGTGTGAGCACAGCTGTGAGAGCTTGGTGGAGACATCACATTTTTCTGTGGAGTAAAAAGACAACTCGCGTCACAATCATGACACCGGCCACACAGTCTGCGTCTTCCAGAACAAATGACTTAGAAAATACTATCTCAATTACAACCAGGTAAGCACGGCTCGGAAGAACGTTCAATGAGATCGGTGAAAATGGCAATAAAAATTACACGAACAAACATAATGGAGAATGGAAATACTGCACATTGTCGTTGTTGGTAAACAAATAAAATACAGCAAAAAGGTGATTTGTAAATAAACATCATGAGTTAAAATTGAGTAACTTATAAAAAGACCATAGGCGGGTTACTTATTATTAAAATAGACTTAAAATTTGATTTACGATACAAACAAAAAAGGCACTATTTTAATTGTTTGGCCATTGGGCAAACGTTCAAAACACTATAGCAGATTAACAGGGGATGCCCTTTTCATTGAAAAAGCACTTGACAATGTTGATGCTTTATTTACAGCACCAGAGTTACAAGTGACTGAGGAAGGAAGAGGTGAAGTGACGAGATCAGCTTGTGTGCTGAGTGGATCGTTAGATCGTAGCATTGTGACAGATGGCAACCACTTGGGGAGGCTTTTGTCCAAAAGTGGACTGATCACTGCTGATGATGATGGCGGTTGGTAAATGGGCTGCGTGGTGGCGGAGATGTTAACTACCTCGCTCGGTATACAGAAGGTCGTGGGTTTGATTTCAATCCTGACACCTAATATTTGGAGTTTGCATGTTCTCCCAGTCGCCGTATGAATTATTTTCCGGGTTCTCCGGGTTTTTCCCTCCACATTTACAATCAACATGAGTTTAGAGAATTTGGCTGCTATAAACTTCCACGTGATCCACTTTGGTCGAGCAATCATTTGTGGCCGGGTCGCTTCTGAAAAATAAGAATATAACTCAGTGGGCCTTACTTTGGTAAAATAAGACAAATGTTTAGTTTAATTACACCGAAGAAATCTGAATTTGTTGTAAGTGAACAGGTTTCCTCGAATTAACTGCTGTGTTCTCTTTGTTTGAACTCTCGACTAGTGTTGCTCGCTTCTCTGCAAGCAGACGGACGGACGCACAGACGGACGGACGTACCTATGCGTAGCCGAGGGCAGTACGGAGCGGGATTCTGCGTCTGCACCAGAAGCGAGTACAGCCCCTGAATGCTGGCGATGGCTGGCCGCACGCACGACGGCACACACACGCCACGCTGTCAACCCGCCTGGGCTAGCGTTAGCGTTAAAATACGGCCGGGGGGTGAGGGGGGAGGTTAGGGCGGCGGGGGGGGGGGAGAGTAACTGTTGACGACACCGGTGTTCGATTTCTACACAATCGACTACCGGCACATCTGTCTATTGAGTAATTCAATTCGAGATTTCCCTGACCACGCAGGCTTTAAATATAAGACCATGTGACGTTTCGGAGGATCGAAGGCGGTTAACGGGAATCCAACGGAACACTTTTCATCCGCTGAAGTGTCGTGTGGACTCTTGGGGAAAAAACTCCACGCGCTCCAGCTTCCGGAAAGACCCTAAACAAGAAACTACAATGCAGTCGGTGCTGCTCTAAGGCCACTGGCTTCTATGGTGGCCGTTGACAAGTGCGTCTTAACCATCTGGAGCGTATTATTTTGCCGAATGTATTTGGAGATATTGTTCTGTGAAGGACAATGATGATAGCTGTAACTAATATGTTGATGCTGTCTTCATTTTATGCATGCCTACAATTTTCTTGTGCGGAAATAATTCAGAAATCAAAATAATTAGCGAGAATCATTTAAAGCGCCAGTTATGCATTAGCAGCGTTCTAGTCATGCAATTTAAATTAGACACTCCCATTTGTCAATTCAGAAAAAAATATAAGTGACGTTTCAGGCAATGGACCTTCTTCATAGCAAGTTATTCACTTGTGCAACAACTTGGCAACATCAGAAAATAATTGTTCAATTTAAATAAGGTACTGTGAATTGTCACCTCCTTTGAACATAAATCATGGGCAATGCATTCAAACAAAATCGAGGGGAAAAGACGTAAAACACTTTGATAAACGCATGAGGGGGGGGGGGGGGGAAACATGGCAATGCAATGCATACTGTGATGTCACACGCACACACATTATATACGGATCAGTATGAACAATTTCAATCGTTACAATTCATACCTGTTGCAAACAATACGGCGATGCAAGGTCTGTTCAGCTCACAGAAACCCAGGAAGGGCCTTAGCCGTCTGAATTACCCTAGTAATATAATTTATCCTTTTACATGACAGCTAAACCTAGGCACAATCTCACTTCCTCTTCCTTGCTTCTCCTGCCTGAAACAAGTATCCACTTTGCAGGCTATACTGCCAAATCTATTTCAAGCTTAAATCAAGCCTGCAGACCGCATCTCTCGTCTCAAATATACGTAGCTTTACATGTTCTATATTTCTGGTGATGTCAGCTATTTCCTCAGTCACAATGCTTAACCCCCGCCTTGACTGTACCGTAAAACCTCTCGAAGCCGGACTCGATTAAGCTGGAATTTCGGGTAACCCCGAAGGATATCCGAAATATTCAAAAAGCAAAATGTAAACATAATCCAATAATACTCAGTTCGGAACGCTGTTGACATCACAAGTAAGCTGCATGCAGAAGGAAGCAGCATACGTATGTGCGCGAGCAATTCTAATGTCATACACTGATCTGTTATATGGAATTTAGTGAACTAATCCGCTTGGATACCACCTGCTCTGATAGATGCTCTCTGCTTGGGCTGCCACTATCATTGGACTCGGCCATCATCCCTTCTAGCGGACATCTCCTGTACAAGTCACTTTTACAACCAGTATGATGCCTATAACTGTTCTACATTTATTTTCTAAGCTCCGTGTTCCTAAAGCTATCTCTCAGTTTAATTCCAAGCGTGCACCTCTCCGTGCTTCTGTGCGCACTTTTCAACAATTATTCCATAGCAGATAAAACACACTGATGAAAAACTTTGCTCTTTAGGCACATTGCTTTAATTGCTTTTCATTATTTAGCTCAGATTTTCAGCTCGTGTCCGTATTTGATCATTTTTTTCTGACAATTGACCATGTGCGCATGTAAAAAGCGTACAACGTTTGTTTTGCTTTGATCACTACTACGGCCACTTTCCGCTGTATGCATGTATGTACGCTGAACTTCTTTCGCACCGTACTAATTGGAGGTGCGGGGGGGGGGGGGACAAACTGAATACAAAAGGCCTTCCCCGCTGGCTTTCGTCTTTCGTGGCAGCTCGAGCACAACGACTAGGGCGAGCGAGGAAGAGCGTGGGGGGGGGGGGGGGGGGGGGGGTGGTGGGGGAGCGACCCGGGGGCCTTACCCTGGGCGGGCAGCTGGAGGCTGGGCACATCGTGCTGCAGCGCGGCGCAGTGGTTGAAGAGCGCGCGGTACGACGTGAGCAGGGCGGCGCACGCGGCGCGGTGGAACTCGTGGGCGTGCTGCAGGCAGCTCTCCGGCACCACCAGGCTCCCGCCCTGCTCCACACCGCGCCGACACGTGCGCGCACACGCACACGCACACACACCCACGGTGACATCCAGGCGCCGGTTTATTTGTTGTCAAATAATCGTTGGAGGTCATTATTTCAACTGTGAACGCGAGCCCGGCACATAGCAGCCATCGCAAGAGGGCAGAAATTCCGCAAGCAAAAGTGGGGGGGGGGACGGGTAGATTGGTAGATTGGGCTCAATGCCCCACCCAGGTGGAGGGCCAGTGAGCCCAGGGGGGGGTACAGATGTTCTGCGGACGACAAGCCCGAGGCCACAGATGCCCACTGGACATGGGAGAGGGAAGGGGGTTGGGCTCACTGCCCGACTCACGTAGGGGAAACGTTCGGGGACGTGGTATTTTTAGGGATGGGGAAGGTGGGGCGGGTGTACATCCAGTCCTCCAATTTTTATTTCATGTGCAAAGGTGCAATGAAGACAGAAATTAAAAGGAAAGAGGGTGAGAAGGAGGATGACGATGATGATAGCGATGATGGCGGTGGTATTAATCAGGCTTATCTGGAGTCAGGAAAGTTGCATGCACAGGGGAGGCGCATGGTTTGAGTCCATTGGCGTGCCACAGAATGACATGGAAGTACCCATGTTAATCACTCGTACAGCAGCACAACCATTTGTGTTGGGAGAACGGCCAAACGGTAGCAGATGTCGCAGTGACCTTAGATCCCTGAAAAGTGACCTTTGGTCCCACACAGTAGATGGCAGCACTTTCCCACTGGCTCTGTACAACGACAATGATTGTCACAAGACAGGTAAAACCAATATTTGAATTTAGAGCTGGAAGTTTTGCCAAATTCACCCTTTCCCATTCCAATGACGCGGTCGTGTCCCTACAGCTCCCAGCGGTGAGTACAGTTAATAACAGTGGCGTTACGCCTTTTTAAATAAAATTAACACCAACCGCTTGAACGTTCCGAGATTCAGCGGCGAACGGGACACCCACCCTGCAACTTGCAGACGTCCCGGAATGGGAAAGGGTTCAGTGCAGAACCAAATGTTACGTGCAGTCACTGGTGACCGGGTTGAACCAACTTGCTGAACTTGAGAAAAAACATTTATTCGCAGGTGCCTGCCTGGATTCGTTGGGGGGGAAATATCAAAGTACAGAGATGCATGGCAGAGAGATTCCGGCTGAGGCTTAGCGTACACGCACACACACGCACGGGGCCACTGACGTTGGGGGAGCCCTGGCTGCTGTATCCGCTGCCGAACAGCACGCTCTCCGGCGCCGGGATGTCGCAGTCTCGCGCCGGCAACGTCTGCGAGCTCCGTCCGAGCCACGATTTCACCTGCCGCGGGAAGCTGGCGGAGAGACGAGGCGGGGGGGGGCAAGCGATGCTAACTGTCGTGCCTTTTCGTATAATCACGATAGAATCAAATTACGAGTACATTTGGCATTCACACCATTCTTACAAAGCAGTGTTCTTCATTGCAAGGCTCTGGTGGGCTTTAGTGCAGCCTCTGACGTGTGGTCCCCGACAATACACAAATGTGAAAACACTGAGTGCAGGCGGTGTGGCAGCCCTCACACTGATAAGGTCTTATCGGGAAAAGTGAGCCCCGCCCCCTCCCCCCCCTCTGAAAACGTCTGAAGATCATCGTTATAAAGCAAGGCTATCACGAAGACGCCGTTCGACAAATATACGAAACACCGTTACAAATACTGCGCTGCTTCCAATATTGACGGGCAGTGCATTGCAGGATGAATTCTGAGTCAATGAATTATAAGCCAGCTCAAAAAGACAAGACATTACAAGCTTCCGAAAAGTATTTGAATTTTCCTCGGCACGCAGTTGCCGTGCGAATCACACCTACAATTAGCACGGCTCAGTGTATGAGAAGGTGCTCTCCTCAAACTTGTTGGGTATATACTCTTTGTTTTTTTTCGGTAAAGTCACGTAGGTAAAATAAATGAAAACAACTAAATTAAATCACGACGTTTCGGAGGCAACACAAGCTTCCGTCTTCAGGTGGAAACCGTCGCAGCAAAATTGCTGTATCAAGTGTGTGTTGCCTCTGAACGTCGTGATTTAATTTAGTTGTTTTCATTTATTTTACCTACGTGACTTTACCGAAAAAAAACAAAGAGTATGAATCCTTGCAGTCACGAAAGCTTCAAATCTAGAATTGTTGGGTATAGTCTCCATTAGTTTCATAGAAGGGGTTGATGATGCTATGTTGGCTTTTCCTAATGAGGTATTTTGCCAAGTAGTTTTCGAATATGGCATATTTCGACCATGACGCAAGTACGCATGGCCTCACTTTATCGAATGTCTCGGGATCGTTAACGTCCGCTGCGAAGCAGACGATGCATACCTAAATTAATTGCTCACAATGAATCACCAAATGAGAAGTAAAATGTCTGGGATGATCAGTCGATGATGTCCATTTGTCAACTGAGTAATTGTAACCGACTACATTTTTACTTGGGCCTTCTTAAAAATTGTGGCCGCCCCAACATCCTGTCTCGTGAAGGTGGGAAACCCCGTTAGGATTACCCAGCGTGACATAGCTGATGATGCCGATGGCATCACCAACCACTGCACATCACACCCTCCCAATTAGCACGGTTGGCTATGTATGGTGCGAAAGTTTAACATGCGTACATACATCACCTCCCGTGCAGCGGAATACAGGAGGGACTTTAAATTCATAGTTTTCAAGTTATTCGATTTAGTCGCATAATCTACCCAATAGTCAATAAATAATGAACAGAGTAGCCACGTCAGTGAGTAATCGCACCTCCGATTAGCACGGTTGGCTATGTATAGTGAGAAAGAAACTTGATTCCAAGCTTTTGTGAATGCAGGAATTACTATTTGGTTCTTTCGGTAAAGTCACGTAGAAAGAAAAGAACACATTTTTTATTTTGTTTATTATTAAACCAAAGGGTGAGAAAGAAGTTCAACATACATACAACTTAGATAATCGAATTACAGCTCAATTGTTTTTCTAGACAACACATTTTAAAGTGTGAAGTATAACTTTAAATCAAACTCTCTGCTCTCCTTACTCTGAAAATTGGTGATTGCGTCGAAGGTTAGTGTCGACTGTTATTTTGTTCTGTTGTAGGGCAGTGTGAATGGTGAACATGGTGAGATGTTTGGTGGTTGTACACACCAGCCAAGACAGTCCAATAATTTTCCGTTTCAAAATGTCATTGTTGTAGAAGCTGCTCAACAAGAAATCTGAACCTTTAAATTTGAATATAATTAATGTGAAAATCTAAGATTACGCTTCACATGTATAAGGTCAAGATTGTTTCACATATTAATGTTTAATAATGCTTTAGACGGCAGTAGCTTGCACACTTAAACCCTGCATTTTCTATTTTAAAACGTCATTGTTTAAGCTGCTCAACAGCCAAATTAACATCAAAGGCTATGATTAACTTTAATATGCAATTTGTTAAAAGTGTTTCATATAAAAATGTTTAATAATGCATGTAGCCAGTCACTGCACTCTGGCACAATGAATGCATAGACAGATGGATGAACGGATTGATGGACGGATTGATGGATGACCCTACGGATGGATGGACTAAAGACCAATCGATGGACTACAGACCGACACAGCAATGGACCGACAGACGGCCAGGTGGATGGACTGTATCGACAGGTAAACAGCCTGACAGCTGGATGGACAAAACGACGGAGAGACCCGAAGATCGATGCACCATCGGATGAACCGATGGACAGACTGCAATTTTATTGAGGGACTGTGGGTTGTCTTGGTGTGGTATTGGAATGTTTTTGTTGTCGTTTTGCCGCCGTGGCCAAGCTTGCATTTAGCGTTACAAAATCAGCAGGGATTTATGTACTTGTGCAATTTTGATTTGCATACTTACTTATATTTAGTTATTTCCTTTTCGTGACTTGCTTACCTTTTCTCTACTTTGCACTCCTATAATTGAGATTTTTTTGTATTGTTTGTTGTAACTTGCCAACCTGTCCCAACTGGACATCTGTGAAAAAGAGCATCATAGCTCATGGGATTCCTTCGGCCTAAATAAAGATTCTGCTTCAGACTGATGGGACAGATCAACGGACTAAAGAACTGATGCACCAATCACACGGAATGATGGATGGATGGATTGGACGGACAGATCACCATATAAAAGAACGTCGCATCAATGAACGGAGTGATGGATGGACGGACTGAACAGAAAAAACAATGGACTTGAAAGATCATTTGCAGCGACGGATAGGCCGACAGACGGAATTACGGTCGGACATACGGATGGGACCCCGGGGGAGTCACACCTGACGAGTGGGTGGTGCAGGGCGACGAGTGAGCCGTGCACGGACAGCGACGCCACCGCCAGGTGGAAGTAGTCAAACATGACGGGCCGGTGCTGGTGCAGGCCGCGGCCCGCGCTCACGTGCAGCACCAGGGTGCGGGTGCTCATGGGCTGCATCAGGTTCCAGCCGTCTTGCCTGCACCATCGCGCGCACACAGCAAGTGTACCAACTTCGCTACGAAGCAGCGACGGGAAACAGTGCGAGCTGAGCACGTGACTATATCGTCTGTTCCTTTCACCGTATGTCATGCAATCCCCTGCCGCTTCACTCACTCTCCCCCAAATATATGATTCCTCTCCCGAGTCTTCTTGATGTGTGGGGTCTCCTACCTGTACAGAGTCTTAAGATGCAGGATGTGCTTGGATGATATATAAAATCAAATTGCTTGCTGTTCCTATTACGTAGGTTTCAACGGGTGTGCTGTGTAGCTCCCCGATGTGTTTTTGGGTTGCACCGCGTGTTGTTTAGCACGATGTCCGACGTTTCATGCCGCATGCTGGGAGCAGTCTTCCGGCACTCAAGGGAGCAGCTCGTGTTCTCCCTTGATGATATTTAGTTGCGGGGCTCCTGTTCTCAATTAATGTATCTTGCAGATTATATTTTTAGAGATTGTATCACTACCAACGATACTCACCAGGCGACACGGATAATCAGCAAGTAAAAACAAGCCCTCTGATTGGTACGTAATGGGCCTGAAAGGAGATTGGTTAGAGGCTGGTAAATTTAAGGGATTGGAGGAGAAATGCAAAATATAAAGAGCGGGAAACGAAGGATGATTAACAGGGAGGTCGGTTGGGATCCGTGAGAGAAAGTTGAAGGTGATTTGGCTGGAGGGAAAGTGGATCAAGGAACCTTCAAGAAATGGGCTTGAGGAATGAGGGGGAAACGCGAGAGCTCGAGACGCTTGGAGTGAAGGGAATCCTTGAAGACCATGTCTCGTGCCTAAGGACATAAAGACTCCTATTGTTGAAGACGGCTGTGTCGAGTGTCGCTACATATCTATTAGCTTCGTCTATTGTTTGTACGTTAAAACCCGTTGAAAACTCAACACCCCCGCCCCCCACCCTTGGCGCAGTTACGAACTCAGTTTCTATACATTTGTGTACACGCATTTTTATGGTGTCTGTGCGGTGCACGTGTGCGGTGGTCTTTTGTTTTGTTGGGGGGCGGGAAAATGTTGCAGGGAGATGACTTACACGCAGTTTGTGTCGGTGAAACACAGTTCCAATATGAGCTGAAAGTCAACTTCCGCAAGGGACTCCTCCATCTGCACGCGACAAATTTTAAAAATACCGTTCCGACATAAACACGTGCACATTTAGTCTCCCGCCCATTTCTGTCACCTCTACAAAACAAACTATTTTGTACACATGCCATCAGCCACAGGGGCCTTCTGGGAGTGTACAATTTCAGCAGCACTGGTTCCTCACAGCCAAACTCTGGACCAGTTGGGACATTCATTGCCTCATCGGCTTGGCTAACTTGAACTTATGTTGGTAAACTGCCAGTTGTTAACGGACAATAACCCTCTCTGTTAGATATGGATTCAAGTTCAATGCAAAACTATATGATACTCAACACAAAAAGTCGTTTAGGGCCATTGTGAAGACTATAAATAACTAAATAAATAAGCAGACAATATGCTTGAATAATGACATTTTCTTACCCAATGAGACACAAACATGAAAATGGAAGGAACAAGACAAGAAAATACCTGGGATGTGATGAATCACCCCATCAAACAAATTCAATATTTGCCACAATACAGGGTCACATATGGATTGTGTCTGTTGTCCTTCTGGTGCATTCAGAATTGAAAGTGGTATATATGGTGTTACATATGTACGCATACGGCCCGATTTTCTGAATCTATTGCTGGCTTGAGACCAATACACCTTGTGGGCCACAGGGTATATTTGACCATACTTCACCACACTGGTCACCAGCGTGGGTTGAAGGTGGGGTAGAGGAGCAGAACAAGAATGGAATTTACTGCACTCATTACACACAGAGTGCTTGTCACAAATGAGCCGTAAATGAACCACAATACCGTGATGATCTCATCAAGGGGCATAAACCACCATTACGCAAACACCGGTCATTCTCGCGGTGGCTTTTGGCTAGCCATCGTACAAAGACGGTCACCGCATCGCGCGTTTTCAGATGCGCTTCTGCGGCCATTTGGAACGGTCTTCCTTCCAATATTCGGAAGCCACTGGGGATATGAAACCGAATTTCTTTAGAACAGTTTTTTTTTGTGTTTATATTTGTTTTCCTTCCCCTGCACCTCGGATTAACACGGTTGGCTACGTATGGTGCGAAAGATATTCAACATACATACACATACCGTACTGCCCGCAACAGCTATCTCACCCGCGGTTTTTACATAAGGCACACGGAAGACGTAGCACGCGATCGGCCAATCGACTCACCCGGCGTGCGTCGAGCAGCACGTGCACTTTGAACAGCACCACGTCACCGAGCACTACCTCCTCGCTCTTGTACAGGATCTGGAAGGTGCGGCTGGACACGGAGGCGGGGCCTAACACCGTGGCCTTTGACACCGGGTCCCCTCCTGTGTGTGGCAGAAAGCAAACGGAGAGGGATGGCGCACGTTTTTAAGAATCGCATCACGGACAGACAGGAACGAGCTCGGGACCAAGAGGGCAACGTTCAGACTTATTTTTGACAGCGCAGTACAACGTGGCTGGAGGACCAAGGTATAGGAGGAGATGATCCTTATGGTCGGTGTTCGAATGGCCTTCTGGAACGACTTAAGTTCGATCTCCGGGGTACCAATGTAATAAAAAACGGCCGAGGCAATAAAATATTTTATTTCTGGGACACTATATTTTTCCAGGGATTTACTTAACTCCGCGACTGGGGTACCAATCAATGCGAAATCAGTGCCACACTCTGCGATGTCGAAACGCAGTGAGGACGATTGCGCTGAAACCCTGAACGCTCGCACGCACCGCAGTGGTGCATCGTGAGTACAGCTCGTCGAGATGAGTCGATTGCCGCATCGCCGACAATCAACAGACTAAAAATGACTGCATCATGGACAGCATGCGAGAGCCGGGCTACTATGGTACCCCTGGGTACTGCCATGAGGTTTACATGTGAAAAGGTCAGATAAGTGAACGGCAACAGGAACTTATCGTTAACACCGTGCACACATTGGACAACAATGAATTGCACACATTGGACAACAATGAAAAGGAAAACTATTGAAAACATGGAGTAATGGGATTAACGATTTAACAGTACGGTACATTACTATGCGATATAGAATGATAAGGAGTCTTCCCTGAAAAAAAAACTTTTAAAAATAGAAATAAAACAAAAGGTACCAGTGTAAAGTAATTTACATTTAATGACTTTTAAACTCTTAAAAGAACTCTGTTAATCGTTGTTTTTTCTGTTTTAAGGATCTCTGTTGTGTAGTCATGTTTACCAACGATTGGACAAGTGTTAGCAGCGCTGGCTCAGCCTCAGCCTGCCACTTCTTTTGTCAGCCTCTTTATTTGAACATTTGGACTCCAATTCGCCTTCAATGGCTCTTCTAGGTACAATTACTCTGCTGTCTTTTCCCAGTTGCGTGACTCTCTGACAGACGTCTCCAATTGTTTGGCAGGTTCTGTTTTTTTGCTGGTATTTATCCCGGGTCCAACTTTGCAGCCTTCTTTATGAAAGAGCTTAAAACATCATTTACAATATTTTGCACAATGTTGGCAAAGTGACACAAACCAGGCTACAAAACAACGATTGCGTTGTTAATTTTGATGAAACACAAAAAAACCACACATACACAATGACGTTAACCTCTGGCCTCCAGGATTCCTTAGCCCTGCTATGCAAAAAAAACAGTCCTGCACAAAATCTCGCACGCTAAATTGCATTTCGGCAGCAAATAATAATTTCTATGGCTACCACTTAAGTTTTTCTGTTCTCATGAAAATGGAAGAGCGTGCGTGGTCAATAGTGGATAATTGTGTCCAATTCGAGGGGTGGCACTTAATAAGTGCACTGGATTAAAACTGAAATCTGTGCATAATGGAACCACTTCAGGCCATTAAATAAAAAACTATCTCAGATGTGGTTTGGGGTCGTACTGCATGTTGTTCGGCATAATGTCCCAACGATTCACTGCATGTGCTGGAAGCTGCTCAAGAAACTCCCAGAAAGAATAATCACTGACAACCACAGTTACATTCTCACAAAGAGGTACTTCTTTCATTGACTACAAATGGATGAAGGGATGAGTCGAGCACCTGACCCGCATTTTAACTCGCGACCCTTCACACGTTTACAACCAGAACGCCACCTGGACGAATCTTGTTTTGAACCGAATATAAACAAACATCACCACGGATCTACACTGCCACCGTTGAAACACGCATTCACACTTAATTCAGATAATTTTATTTTAAAATCGTCACTACCCGTGCTGTGGACCAGACGCAATTAAATCTGCGTCGTCACAAAACGATCGCGATTACCCCAGGTGACAACAATGGGGAAGGGGAACAACAAAGCGCTTGCACACGATCGCCACAAATTTCAAACGACCGACACGACAGACGCCTCTGGTGGTCCGGGATTGTGTTTGTGTGCACTTTAGTGCTGCTGAATGAAGTGGTTCGGGGGGTGGGGATTCCACAACACTGCTGCCCGGCCAGTCACGCCGCATCACATTATCCGTGGCGTCGGCTTGGCTCGCTCGCCCCTTCCAGACATTGCTGCACGTGTCCGGCATGCCAAGTAGGGTTGCTGCTCCTGCGATGCAGGTCTAAAGGGAGCTTATCGAAAAACCACAAAAACTAAACCCCAGTGACAACAAGATTGCTCAGTGTGCCCCCCCCATCGCCCCCGTCCGGCTTAATGAGAAAAACGCAGTGAACGCAGCATGGTGCGAAGGATGCAGGTGTTATTTTGAGAGAAAAAAAACAAAGGGCTGGCCGAATGACAGCACGTCCTCCGCATTTTAAGATGCTCCGGAAAGTAAGATGCACCCCAAACTTGTACCTGGTGGCAATGAAGTTGTAGAAATCTGGGTCACACACACGCACACCAACTTTTGTTTTAAAGAAAAAGGGGGGGGGGGAAGTGTCTTGGACCTCAGGGCATACAGTAATTCAAGAGGTGATCGAAATGTCAGCAGCTTGGCAAACAAACAGCTATTTGATCGCTGCCTTGTAATGAAGAAACTATTTTTTAATTATGCAGAATAGTTTCACCGAGTCTCCAGATACGGGAGAGACAACTCGGAACAGGTTAAAGATTAAAAAGTTAATTAACGGAATACTAGAAGTTGCCTGGCTCAATGATGTGGGATGTGGGTGACATCATCATACAGATGTGCGTGTGGTGAAGTCGCCACCGCTCACTTTCCTGCCCGCACGCATTATAGCCCCATGAGGCCACTTGGCTAGTGATAACACTAAATTGATGTCTCGCAGAATATCCGGCCAAAGTTATATTGCATAATAATGTAATCAGGACCAGTATACAATTTAATTTGCCTGTGTTTACATTGCAAGAATATGAGAGATAGCGATAGCTTGGGGAGGCCTTCAGTTCACCAGTAGTTTAACCTTCAGAGTTTTTCTCTGGGTCCTCCAGTCTTTCCCTCCACATATAGAAAGGGGAATTTAGATTATGTATTTTACTGCTATAAATTTCCACGTGATAAGCCATTTTGTTGAGCAATCGTTTTATTCGTATATTTAAGTGATTTGTTTACCTAACCCATACTTTTTATATTGCTTGTTGTTGTAACCTTTTGACCCGCCCGAACTGGACATCTGTGAAAAAAAGCTTTATAGCTCATCGGATTCCTCCAGAATAAATAGTCTGATTATGATGAACCACTCTCCCATCGTGTTTGGTGCTTGACCACAATAAGCACAACCGCATGAGTGGCTACAAAGCATCTCGTCTCCTCGTTCAAGATTTGGGGGGGGGGGGGAAATGAAAGCACCACGAGGCATCAGGCTCCGGAGGCTTTCGCCATTCTCCCAGCGTGCCAGTCATCGGATGAATGTGCGCACTCGTGCAAGGCAAAAAAAAAGACAGGTAGATTATTCTTTCCAACATAAACAACAGAAGGTACTTTTATTTGCCTACAATGCCAGGAAAACAGCACTCCGGCACGTTATTTGCATGGCAGGCACGGCTCGAGTCATCTCGTCTACCCACTTCCTGAGAAGAACGCCGCACTGCTCCTCCTCCTCCAGTGTTCAAGAATAATGTATATGTAGTGACTGGGAATGTCACTGTGTGGTGCCGGGCCTGCGAGGCCACGGCGGGATGTATACTGCTGTGTGTACACCCCGGACACGGGGTGTAGTACCAGCCCTAGTGGGGGCTTGGGTGAGCGCTGGTTAAGGGCGGTGGCAACACGCACAGCGTGCGGTGCGGGCTCCCATTGAGAGAGCGAGAGAGTGTCAGCTAGCTAGGGTTACGTTGGGGGCATGATACTCTGGCTGACCTAGGGACACGTGACCGGATGATACTGAAGGGGGGCCACCGGTGGAGGGGGCCAATGGGTGGTCACATGGTCCGGGAAGAACTCTCGAGAGCCTTCGGGCAAGGGCGAGAGAGCTCGAGAAGGTGGGCGGGGCGAGAGGCGGAGCCAGCCCCAACCCAGCCCGATATAAGGGGGGCCCCTTGGAGGGGCTCTGGGTTCTTACTGTTGGAGAGGCAGGAGATCCACGTCAAGCTTGAAGAAGCCTGCGGTCCGGGATAGTGGAACAGTGTCTAGTTCCGCCATAGCGTGGTTAGTTCGGAGGTCACCACCCAAGAGCATATTGTGTTAATAGCCCTGGAGTATGTTGTGTTAATAGTCAATATATATAAAAGTCTAAAATTGTTTGTTTGTCGGTTTGTGGCGTTGTGTGTGTTCGTGCGCTTGCGAAGGATTTGGCTCTCCAACGGTGGGGTTTACGTTAAATTAAAATAGCCAGGTTCCATGCCATAAGCCTCGCCGTGAGCAAGCGCTATTACTTCTTCACATCCGTCAACTTTTAATAAGTTGAATGAGCGATTTAATGCGATGTTGTTTGCGCTATTTATTTATAACGCGTGCACGACCATACCAACTCACGCGCCTTTGGTGGGGGGGACAGCCCATGCCAAGTGGTACGCCTTCGATGGGAGTGAGGGGGACATTTTCTTTTGCGTTAAAAATGCTTTCAAAATACACTAAACGCCGAGCTTAAAGCGGCCGGGGAGATCGTGGCTGGGGGGGGGGGGGGGGGGGGGCCCGGGGTAGCAGCCCAGCTCCAGCCTGCCAAGGTGCCACCTCGGCCGGCTGGACAATCTAGGCGAGGCCGGAGGCTCTGCACGGGACTAGGCCTCACCACGCCACTCTGTCAGGTGAGTACTTTGTGCTATAGAGTCGATAACTACTGCTATGGAGTCAGAATGTATTACTGTAGTGATAGCAGGTACCACCACAGTCGGTATGCACTGCTGTAATCATAGCAGATACCACCACAGTCAGTACGCACTGCTGTTAAGATTTTTAAGAGTAGTTTTGAAAAAAAATTTTGGCCCGGGCAACGCCGGGTATATAAGCTAGTAGTTAATAAAAGTGTTGCTCCCTAAGACAACGTCTGCGACTCAATTGGACTCACTACATATACAATAATTGAAAACGAACAAAAGCCAGGCACGAAGGCGAGCCATGGGCAGTCTCAACCTAGCCCCGGCTCATCAATAACCCCAGGCGAAGGCGGCGTACGACGCGTGCGCATGCACCCATGCGCTTTAGGTGTCAGACCAGTGCGTCGTGACGTAACGCACGATTGCGCAGGGCTGCATCAATTTAAAGGACATTTTTTAAATTAGTCCGTTTCGTGTGCTGTCGGCATTTTCTTTCCATCGCTTTACGGTTTTAAGCAGCAAATGAAACGCCACTTGCTTTGCAGCAAAGTACAACCCCCCCAAAAAAAATCACTGTGCTATTTGCATACGCACATGACGTGCTAGAATAAATGTGTGCATAGCCAAGTTAGGATAATTCATGCTCATGCATTGATTATGTAACATGTTCCTACAGGCGTTTGTCTCCGAATTATCGATATGGAAGTTAACAAGTAGCAGGGAGGCCTAAATGACTTTGAATATTTGTAAATACTCGCATAACGCCCCCCCCCCCACCCATCCCCCACACACCCCCACAGCGTGAATGCACAGTTACGAGATGCACCTTTTAGGGACGTACTTCCCACTTACGCCATGCGTGTCACAGTTACGCGCTCCAGAAAAAGATTTAATTAAAAGATTTTTTAAAATATATATTTTCAATGATAAAGATTCACAGTTACGTTTATTTTTCTGATGACACTACCACCAGCATCATAGCAGCACCCAGTGTCATGGAATGGGTGTAGCCATCTGAGATCTGCATTTGTTTTTCAAGTAGCCCTGAACTTACTCCTTATTAAGTAAGATTTCTCAGTAATCTATTTAATCTTTATTATTTGTTAAATCCCACTGCTTGTGTCCACCCAGCAGTATAATTGGGTACACCACAGTCAATTGGCAAGACGCGTGTGGTGGGTACTCCCGTTCCTTCCTCGACAGTTGGCCAGCACAAAGAAGAGTAGGCCAAAAATTCCTTCGCGAGCTCCCTTGAGTGGAAGCGATTCCAACAGCAGTGGCGGGAGCAAGCAATTACAGGGCAGCAAGTTGACCTTTGTGCTCTAGTTATTTTATGTCTCCAAGTTTGGCCAAAATAACTGAAAAAAAATAGACAATATAATGCATATAATGTAAAAAAATGTATAAAAGACCGATGTCATTTGCCAAGATGCAATGATAAATGTGAGAAACAACTTAAATTATAAGGCTTTAAAAGTGTTCCTGTTGCAGATTCAGATGGCTCTGACATTTAAAAATCTTAATATGCACTATAAGTATGAGATTAGATTGGTTTATTGGTTTCAATACGTTGTTTCATGAGCCAATTTTCCGGACAACCTCACGCAAACCGAGATTTGCAATGCAATGCACGCACCCGTACATTTCAGCTCTTCTGATAGCCGTGCAATATTGTTGGTAATAGAGTTAAATCATCATTATGTAGATTTAGAAAGAAATAAACCCACCAAAACCAATGGTGTGCTCAAGATATATAATTTAATTACTCGTTCCCATTCCAAATCGATTTTTTTCTCCATAACTCAATTTTTTTCTCCCTTGCCAATTTATCCGTGGTTATAAAGCAATAAGCACCCTTCGCTGTCGCACGAAACAAGACTCCGTTAACGTCCCTTGAGCAAAAGAGGTGGCAATAAGGTTTCCACGGTAAACGTTGACCAAATGCAAGTGACTTTTTTCCCTCTCTAAAAAACAAAACAAAATTGGGAATAATCTCCCTTTAGGGCAGCGGTGAACACCCGATATCTCATCGCCATATGTTTGCACTCAACTGTAGCAGGATACTCATAGGGAATAACAATAAGGAAGAGGGTGCCATTATGAAAAGAAGCGCCCGGATAAATGCAGACGTGGATGTTAAAGTGTAGGTAAGCGATGCAGTTGCAGAAGTATGCTTAAAATGAAAGAGTGTCCTCTGCTTGCGTACTGGAAACTTGCCATGAACACTAATTGCCAGACAACCTTTATCTGTGAGCACAGTGCATGCGACAGGCACTTATATACATGTCGCGGATGGCTGCGGGGCAGGGCACAGCCAATCCGAATGCAGACCACGTAAATGTGAGTGTTCCGGTGGGATTGCCGTACCATTTTTATGGGGCAAGCTGACCTCCACTTTGTGTGGTATCCGCGGAGGAACCTTCAGAGCGGCCCGCAGCTGGTAAAACCTGCAACGGAATACACGTCTAAATTTAGCACGAACAATTCCGCGGTCAATGTTGTGATTCATGATTGATTTTTTTGGGTCGGGTCGCTCAAGTAAAATGCCAATGTGTGTGCGGTAAACCCTCCTCCACCCGACACGGACAAATAAATAAAAGTCAATTTATGATCGATTCAGCACACCGGTGTATGTTGGGCAGCAATCAGGTGGCGGAGCCAGGATTTCAGGCCGGGTTGACATTCAACAAATTTTAATTTCAAGAATGATTAGATAGTCAGGCTGTTGAACTAGACGCCATCGGTTGGCGACACACTCTGAAAATGCAGCTGCACGGAATCCGCCAGACCGAGTGTCGTACACTTATACGCAGAATGTCACCCCTGTCACCCCCCTGGCTCCGCCCCTGGCAGCAATCCAGACGCATTTTCAAGGGCCAAGACCAGGAGGAGATTTTCACAATTCTGGAAAACGCGTGATGATACTGGTTGTAATTACCGGCAGAACTTCGTACCCAATTGTTAAATGTTGGGTATTGCTCGCCGACATACCGGCGGGCTGAAGCAATAATAATTTGGAACTTTTTTCCGGGTGGTAATAGAATTAATATGGCTGTGTCAGGTGGAGGAGGGTGTATGACACACAATGGGAATTTTATTCAGGCGATCTTACCCAGAAAATAATTCACGATTTTGAATACATTTCTTTGACAGTTTTATATTCATGAATAATGAACAGTCATCCATCTCCACGGAGAACATCCATCTCGGGCATGTTATAATGAATATGCATTTATCGCACCTCCGATTAGCACGGTTGGCTATGTACAGGGTGAAGGAAGTTCAACATACATACATATTTAGACGTTCTTCACAATCGGTATTCAAATATCGATCAAACTAATTAAATGATGCAAGCAATAAACGCATCAAACCATGAAATGCGCAGATTTTAAGTTTATATTTTGTAGGAGCACTCTATAAGCAGGTGGCAGCCCGTTGAGATTTGGCTTAAATAACACTCAGTAAAGCACACACGCGTGTTTGTGATTGGTCGTCAGAAACCCTACAGTCATTGCAGATTACATACCCAATACGATCTCGCTTACGTGACTCGCTAGGGACGGAGGTACCAGGCGGAGGTGTGAAAATTACATCTTTATAAGATGACAGTTACACCTCTGCGCACAAATCGTATACTGGAAAAAAAATAACGTACGAACCGCTTTAAACATGGGGGGTAAAGTTTGAGCGTGCTTTAGAACCAAGCAAATGTGCAAAAGACGAAGAGTACACCACCTTACGTGAGCAGATCACATTTATGAATAAAAATGGAACACTACAGTTATTCAACGAACAAAATTTTGCACTGGCTGCGGGTGGTTAATTCATCGGGGCGAATGTGTGACCATTTGGATATGCGACGTTGTACAGTAACTATATACATTGAATAGCGGGAAGGGTCAATACTTACATCCAGAACGAATATGAACCCTCTGTATTAATATACAATTAATAATTATTTGTTTCGTTGACTGGCTATGGGGAAAAAAAAAAAAGCATTTAATAAGGATGTACGGTCCGGGTACATCAGTCTGTAACATTTTCACATTGTAAGGGGTTTAAATGCAAAGCATTCAGAATCTTCCTTTTCAGAACGACGTCCGTTAACCTTGACGAACCAGCAGCCAACACTTGCACGCACGTGAAAAGCACTCAATGAATCCAATGCACCGCTCCTGCATTTCCAGCTTCTGCAGAATAATTACACGAGTCCAAACCACAAAACGAAACTAATGAGACGCACAATCTAACAAAGGCGTTCTTAGTTAGGAAATACGGTTTGCAACGAAACAGATTTACAACAGAAGAAAAAAACGTGCAAAACATTCTGGAGCATGCTTGACACAGCCCCACCAAAGCATTGCTGTGAGCGGTGTGCTTGTGCTATGTCTGCAATGACGCAACAAGCTTCGGAGAAGCAAAACAAAAACCAGGCGTAGACAAGGGTTTTCCTGACAAGAAATAACAATCGCAAAGGAACTAATTTAAAACGTAAAAAAAAAACATTAGGCGGAGCAAGCAATGCTTAGCCCAAACCCACCAATGCAGGTTATACAGATTTGCGTGTGCAAAGTCCTGCAACGGCAACCTCCACCGAACGTCCGCATTGTGCCGTGTGCGTGCGAGTCAACGTTAACACTGCTAGCTCTGCTGTTTGTACTGCGACTACACCGCAGCAGCGGTAGTGGCAGCTGCCAGTTGGAATCGATGAGAAGCGGGGGGGGGGGGGGGGGGAGAAAATGACTCTAAGGTGTCACCATGCTTAAACCTGTCCATCACAGCAGGACTTCAATAGTTTGCACAAGGCTAATCCGTACAGCGGGCTTGTGCGGATTATTAATGGTTTATTCCTGCTTTTGAGGCTGCAGATTTGAGTGTGGACCGAGTGACATACTAATGGACAGTATTTCCAGAGGGAGAGGAGGGAAGGGGTAAACACTCAATCATAGCCTCTTTATAAAAACTATGACTCGAAACGAGCCGAAAAACACTTGCAAGAATAAAAACAGGAAGATATGATTATCATTAAATTATTTAGTTTTAATGAAGGTCTCAAAGCAGACTTGTAAGTTACATGCAGACACTTTGTTGTATTTTACACCTGCTCATAAAAATGAATCTGACAGCTCGAAGCTGTTTAAAAAAACCCATTACGTTTGTTTAAAGTCCTGCAAGGAGGACACACACACAAGGCTGATATGAAATGCAACACGATACGTAAAAACAAGACCAGTAGCATGCGTCTCGCATAACATCGCGCAGGGAGGCAACACAAGATACATTGACAGATGGAGAGGTGGCATGCTTGGAATTGCACTCAGAGACTAAGAGAAGAAAAATATGCTTGGGCAGAAGACATCGCGAGAAGGACTGTATGTATGTTGAACGTCTTTCGCACCGTACGTAGTTAACCGTGTTTATCGGACGTGCGGGATGACGGCCGAATGGAAGAACCTGATGACAAAATGGAAACCAAAGTAGGGAACACACCACAGGGATGGAGGGAAGCGATCAGTTCATGTGCAGGACTAAGATGGATTATGGCACGATAGGACTGTGAAAGATGGTGACTGCATGGGGAGAGGCCTTCAACCAAAAGTGGACAATGGCTTAAGATGATGCATGCGGCTGGTGGTGGAGTACCGGGTAGCGCTGAGCTGCACCACAATCCATTCAGAGAGTTCGATTCCCGCTCATGGCCAACATCGGTGAGGAATATCTTAACAGGTCCTGGGCCTCCCCTATGTCAACTCGGCTTCAAATGAGAACCTGGTGCGGTGTGTAAACACGCCCACTAGTGAGACAAAGGCGGCCAGGCGTGGTGTTGGCCACCCATCCCCTCATGTGCCGTGCCGGCCTTCATAGGTGCCCTTGAACGGCAATTGTCATTTAACTTATGGACAGCCTCTCCGTGCTTTGCCAGGTCATTAATGTTTACGTGTTTAAATGTATGCTTGTTTGTGAGCAAAATGTTTTGGTCAGTTTATTCGCAAGGAGTGAGATGATGAATCGTATAAACATGAGGGGTGGTGGTGATGGATTGGGGAAGTCTTCATTCAGCAAGGCAACAGATGACGGCCAATTAAGATCATCAACACTTGAAGCAGGTTTAAAAAAAAAAAAAATAAGTGAAATTTATTGAATGCGGCAAAACCGACAAGGAGGCGTGCCCATCGTGACCACGGGACCCGACGGGAGCCCTGAACGCATCATCGAGTGGTCTCCATGACGACGTACCCTCGCTGGAAGAGGTCCACGTTGTGGAACTTGTGAAGCTCCACGGAGAACTCGACGGTGGCCTGCGCCTCCGCCATGGCGATCCCCCGCCGTCTCTCGAGACCACCCTCGCCGCCCCTCTCCGCGCTTCACGTTGCCATCATCATCATCATCCCACGCTCCGCGATCCTCAGCCACTGCTTAGACAGGGCCATCTGCATCAGAACGGAGAAATCTACTGCGAGGGGGTTCTGGGTGAAGAGAAAAGCGCCAAGCCACGAGAATGTTCAGCAGTTCCACTGCTGGATTGTATTTTTTCCGCTCGAGGACGACCGCTTGTGTTGCGGTCGAAACGTCGTGATATATTTTTATTTTATTTTATACCTACGTGACTTTACCGAAAGAACCAAAGAGTATGGATTCCTGCAGTCATGAAAGCTTCAAATCAAGATTGAGAATGTAATGATTCGTCTATTAAAATCGATAGTTATACTCACGATATGTACGCAGAGTATAACTGCCCAGGATGTGTCGCTGTCAGCCAGTTATGCAGAGGAACGGAGTTGGAAACGATCTGTAAAGTTTACACAGCATAAACACTGCGTTTGTGGTTATAGCCTTTGTGCTATAAGAATGGCACGAATATTAAACGTACAAATTATTATTACTACAGCCTTTTAATTAAGACATGTTGCTTCAACTCGCTCGCTCGTTGCACCAGCTGTCTTACTCGTACATGGTTCATAGCAATGATAATAAACACTCAGCTCTGTCAATCCACTGCTGGATAAAGGCTTCCCATTTCCATACAGGTTATGGGGGTTATTGGACCACGCTTCATCACGCTGGGCAGCACGGGTTGGTGAAGACGGGCAACAGAGGTGTAGATGTTTAGAAGTACAGTACAACCATAGAATTTGCCGAACTGCCCCCTTCTCCGCACAATATCAGTAACGCACCAACCACTACATGGACACATTATTTATATAGACATAGCATTCTATGATTCCTGCAAATTATATGAAAATGAAATGCTAATGTGCTTATAGGCTAATAAAACAAACACGAAAACAAGTCAAACAATACTGATGAAATTGTTGCTTCTCGAATGGTAACCTGGACACCAAATCACGACACTTCACTGAATCAATGTGGTAGGGGTATGGTATGAATCGTTTCATCCCTGCCCGCAGATTCATTATGAAATGACATGCTGGTGGCCAGTATTGATGACGCGGTCATACTTGCTCCACCAGAATGCAATTACGGCAAGCATAATTTATGAAAACATCATCTAATAAAAAATCCACCTGTTTATAATGGTTTTCGCTGTACAGTCGCATGTCATTGTGTAATAGCATACAGCCGAAATGCGCAAAATATAAAAATGCAGCGAGTCATGCGTTTCCATTTATAATTCAAATGACATGTGTATTTGCGTTTAGAAAAAAATACAAATTGTGTACACCACTGCTGTTGTGTTGAGCTTGCAAGAGTCTTGCGGTACGAATGCCTAGCGTGCATGTACATGCGTTATGTATAGCACAGCCATCCATCAGCTGTTCTCAAATAAGTGTCATCTTACTTCTATTCACCAAGGGGGCCTCTTCCCAGGCTTAGCGTGAATGGATGAGGGTTGCCAGTACAGTAATAGATAATTCCTATTTCTGACCATAACCCGACATAACCTGCCTAAACAAACCGCTGACTCGCAACGACCCTAATAAGTGGTAAGTTTAAGGTGCAAATTAAATCCCCCCGTGCATTTACACCGTGATAATACGAATTGTTAAGGCTAATCCTCGAGCAAAGTGACTATAATCCTAACCGTACAAGCAAATTATAAATCCATGCTGAATAATGATGCAGATGTCCTTGAGATCCATCCTAGGCAATGTGGTAATTAACTTGGTGCTGTCAGTGAGAAGCTGGATGAATAGCAAAGGAAGCTTGCATACACCGGTGAATGAATGCCTACCTTTGAAAGCACAATCACTTCTAATTGACTCTCCACTATCATGAAGATGTACAGTCTCTACTTGCTCACACCCCACCAGCTGTCTTACTTGTACGTGGATTGTATAATAAAAAAAAATCAGCTCTTTGTTAATACACGTTGGATGATGGCCTTCCCACGGCCGTTTCTTTATTTAGCGCCTTAACCACGGCGCTTTAAAAAACAAATATCAATGGTACACACGAATGTAATGGTGGAGATGAGGTGAATGAAATAATGAGAGGAAGCAACGGGCAAATCTGTGATGCATTAATTGAGTGAAAGCGAAATTGATGACAACAAATGATGATGAATGGATTGAATGAATGGGGAATGAATGAAAGCCATATAATGAGAATTATAAGAGGAAACAGTAACGGTGGGGGTTATGGGGAGGGGGATACAGGGGTGGTGGGGTGAGCTAGGGAACAATGAGTGAGTTCAGTCTTGATTTGAAGCTTTCGTGACTGCAGGAATCCATACTCTCTGGTTCTTTCGGTAAAGTCACGTAGGTAGAAAAAAAATAACAAAAACACGACGTTTCGGTCGCAAAACAAGCGTCCAGCTTCACCTGACTTTACCGAAAGAACCAGAGGGTATAATAAGCGAGTTTTGAGTGCGGAGTGGAAACTAGCGAGCGAAGGTGACTGCTTAATGCAGGGGGAAGTTTGTTCCAGTGAAAGGGGGGGGCAAGAAGAGAGAAGGAGCGAAAGTGTGGATTGAGCGCAAGGAGGAGGAGTAACAGAGAGAGACAGCAAAGATTGAGAACGTAGAGGGTCAGAGGGCACGTAGAAAGATACAAGCTTGGCAAGATACGGTGGCGCAAGCCCATGAAGGGATATGTAGACCAGGGTTGTAGTTGTTGTACCATATTTTACCAAGCTGGTTAGTGCTGGTTGGTGAACAAGGTCTGGAAATGGTTCAGATATCACTTGCCACTGATGTTAGCTGTTGTCAGAAATCAAATGCAGGTTGCCAGCTTGAAAACCAAGTTGTGCTCTGTCGTTGGACTGAGTAATAAATAATGATTACATTAACTGACATGCGCGTGTTTCAATACCAAAAAATAACCTAACAAATTAACCGTAGTTTGATTCTTAAACAAATGCTGTTAAAAAATACTTTGGTGCAGCAATTCGGTTATATGCTTAATCTAATGGCATTGCTCGTAATACTGTCAACAATGTGTACTCTATACCAAAGCCTAAATCAACAATTAATTACACATCAACACAACTGTGAATTCATTTTTACATGTCAACAGCTTAGGGGCATATTTTTACAAACAAAAAACTGCTATAAAAGCAGTGGAATGACACGTGCACAGTACACATAGGTTACATTTAACTTGAAAACATTCCGTAATCGTCAGCAGGGTTGGTGGTGATGGTGGTGAATTAATGCGTCCCAAAAACTTGCGCTGGAACATGCATTTATGAGAACCTATCTTTAACGCGGGCAGACGTCATTTGCCTCAGGGCGCTATATTTTAATCAGCTGGTGGCTTTAAAGTCCAACGTCTGCTGCTAATGACAGCACAGCGACGCCAAAAATGCAAAAATATTACGTACAGTAAACTCCAAGAGAGCTGAATCGCAGGGAACATCCTAATGACACTCCTGCGATAACAAACTGGCGTTGATATTAATCACGCCAATTAGGTTGGAGACATACATTTCACCCCCGACACTAAGATACTTTAAAAGTGTCGGTTCCTTCCAACAAACCATGTTGGCACGTTAAAAACACAAGCATATTATTTTGTAGATGACCACCTAGGCGCTGTGTGCTTACTGAAACTGGTTTGAAGCTTTAGGGGGAAAGGTCAGGAGCATTCTAATAACTACTCTAGGGCATGCCAGACTCCTTAATATGTCAATGAGTTACGTCAAAAAAGTCCCACGACCCATAACTTTAAATGCTTAATCTGATTAACAATAAAGCTTCAAAACTAGCTCAGGGCCGCACAGCCTAGATCCTCATCATCAGCCATGGTCAATCTGCTGCTGGATGAAGAACCCCCAAAGCTGATACCACCTTCTCACAGTGCTGCATTGTTACTATTGATCCACCTAACACACCGGCACGTGTACAGGCATAAACAGCCTAGGTAGTTATTTTTTTGAGGGGTTCTTTTCAGCAGTCTCGCGTGACAGTTGTGAAACGAAATGATCCTCGTGAGAATCCTGTACAGTGGGGAAGGACCCACCTGGGCATTTATCAATAACATCACCGTGTATGACGAACCTGTGCATAATTACATAACGTGCTCCTGCAAAAGGAGACAATTATGATCTCAGGACATTTTATTGTGCCATTTGTTTCCATCAGATGTGTCATTAAATTATCGGTTTTTTTTTATAAATCACGTTGAGATTCTACTTTTAACAAAACAGTCATTATCATACCAATACAGGATTTTCCTTTATAAAAAAGAGGCGTTTCTGGATAAATATATCAGTAAGGATACTTAAAAGCGGATAAGCTGGAACCAGAGTACTGGAACGTACATACCTGTGCGAATTGGTGCTATTTGTTAATTGAAAATATAAACTGTCATATTGTAAAACCAATTCGTCATTGAGTGCATTACGTAAAGGACAAAAATAACATCACTTGAGGTGTTGTGCACATGTTTTATTTTCCTGCCGATTAGAGATAAAGACAGAAACGAATACCATCGATATATTTTTTTGCATGAACCTCTTCATTTGTATTTGAAGACAAATCAAATCTTAATGACGTGTTAATCACAATTAGCTCTAATATCGAATTGATTAGACTCCTCTGGGATTCATGGAGTTTGGCGTAAATGCACAAAGCTCAGACAGTCAGGCAACACGTAGAATGTTAAAGCTTTCGGTAGGAATATAAGAGGCTCATACAGTTAACCTCGTGGTCTCTGAGGATTATTAAGGGTTCTGCGTTGTTAATATCCAAGTCCCGCAGCCCAGATTTAGGCACAATTAAGATTGTTTGGGTAAAGTGCTAATAACACGGGGCTCACGTAGTCGGACTCGGGCACATTTAAAATACTGAGGTTCAATGTTAAGTCCAGGTAAAAAAAAAACAACAGAATAAACCAACGACGACACACTTAAAATTCTGAGGCATTTCGTCACTGCAGCATAAACGTCCGAGGCTCACAGAGGCTGAGACGACACCAGCAGTGAGCACGCGCATCGTACAACACCGCTGTGAATCGAACAGCCAACTTAACACTTTACAACACGCTAAATCGTCACCATCACCATCATCAGCCACCCGCTAATCCGCTGCTGGATGAAGGCATCTCCAATCCATTGCCATCTCTCGTGATATATATAAAAAAAAACGTTAAATCGCATGGTAGTATTAATTGCAAATTCAAATTCTACAACCGACTCGATAACAACACCCCGTAGATGCGGCCTACACCGGTCTCAACTAGTGTCACCAACCGACCAAGCCGCACCGATGGCCGGCCTGACCATATAGTCGACACCGGTGGCGGGAGGGGGGGAGAGGGCAATAATCCTGAACGCAGCAACACCATCTTTTTGTTGTTAAATAAACACAACGGAAGAGACCCCACGCGCTACTTGGTGGCTCTTCGATGGCACAGAGAGAGAGAGAGAGGGAGCGAGCGAGAGAGTCTCGGACGCCGCGAACTCACCCAGGACGCATACGAGGAGAGAGCGCTCAGACGACGCTGGGACGCGGCGGCCACGAGCCGCGTCTGCTGCTGCCCCATTCAAGTTAGCGTGGCCACGCCTCGACCAATGGGATGGCGGCATGGCAGTGATGTCATCGAAACTACCCCCCCCCCACCAGCCCCTCCTTCTCCAGGGTGGGGCAGGGGGGGGGATTCGGCTACGTGACAGCTGTCAATCATCTAATCAAATACTGGTTTCAGAATCAGAATATTAATTTATACTGGAAGAATCCGATAAGCTATCAAGCTCGTTTTCACAAATGTCCAGTAGGGGCGGGTAAGAACGTTACAACAATAAATAGTACAAACACATTATAGGAGTGCAAAGTACAACCAGATTAAGTTTAATCATATTAAGATTTTGAGAGAGCAGGGTTGAGTCTCATTATCAAGAGTGACCTGATGGGTTACAAAAAACAAAGAACTAAATGAAGTGCAGCAAGGAAGCAAAATAAATCAGCGCAAAAAACAACTGTGTAGCAATAAAAAATGTTAAATATCACGCAAAAAGAAATCAATGTCAACAAATAAATTATACGTAAAATAAGTCGGCTCGGGCAGATTATGTTTAGACTGATCGTAGTGTAATTACAAATTAAGAAAAAACATTAAACAGATATTGTCGTAATATGTGATATATCAATCATCATCACGAACCATGTTCTATCTAATGGTGGATGCAAGTATCCCCACGTTGCCAACCCCTAAAAAAATCACGTGAAGCCACAATCCATTTAGCTGGTGTGCGTGAGCTCATCTCATCGATTCATCTCGGCAGTGGACGTTCTCATGGGTGTTCCCTCCTTTGGCTGGCATTTCGTTACCAGTCTCGTCCATCCACCATCCTCCCTTATAGTGAGCTTTCAATATAAATGCATCTAATTTGTGCGTGTGATCCACGTTTTTTTGTCTCTCAGAGTAATACTATACGCTAAACAATGTTTATTTTATTTTACCAGGTAAGGCCCACTGAGCTATATAGCTTTTTTTTTCAGAAGCGACCTAGCCACTAATGACAGCTCAACGAAGTAACTCATCACCTTGGACATTTATAGCGGCGAAATACTCTCAACGCGTGATGTTGATTCTCAATATGGAGAGAAAAAGCGGAGGACCCGGAGCAAAATCCACGCGGCCAAGGGGAGAGAGACACGCAAACTCCAAATACACAGGTGTCAGGGTCAGGATCGAACACAAAACCTCCCATCATACCTTTCTCGACGATTCTTTGTGTGCACTTTCCAGATTTTGTTCCCTGTTTTTTGTCAAAGTCCTTATTTTCAATCCGTGTCGTGGAAGGTAATATTTTAATACATAGATTTTATTTCCTTTTAGACGCATTTACATGTTGTTCTTCATTATAACATGTCTATTGAAAGTACTTCAAGTTGCTCTCGTCTGCCTCTTCATTTTGATCTCGGCTTGCCTTCAGCAGCTGTCCTATGTGTCTAGTTAGTCTGATTTCTGATCCATACGTCGATAGCACGCCAAATGCCCTGATGAATGTTCTTCTTTAGGCACATTTAAAGTGAGCATGCAACGTTGGGCCAACATTGGCATGCCGTTGGAACCTTTGAACCCACGTTGGCCCAACGTTCCACGTTTACTGGGTTTTGGGCCGTTGGTCCAACAACCCCAATGACTGCGAACGGAAGGCGCGTGGAAACTTTCATCCAGCGGTGGATTTACATTTCCCCGTGTACACACGTCAAGATTCCACCGGGGGATTACAGAGGTGGGCGAGGTGTCCCACTGTGCAGGGTGGGGTGAACATATGACATCTGCAAATGACGTTGGTCACACCCTGTGCGCCACGCGGAATAGATGAATCTCTACGTCTGCACTCCCAGTCCGACAGGGTGACTCAAGACTCGCAGTTGCATTCCAATGCGTGATGACGGTCACCTGTCGATCGTAATCATGATGTCATTTATTTACCGAGGGGACCGGTTAGGTGGCTTAGCGGTGGGCTGAGCGGCCCACAATCGGAAAGTTGCGAGTTCAAATCCTGGTTGGGTGGGGGGGAGGTTGTTGACTCAACCCTTTGTCCCTCCGGGGTCGATACAATGAGTAACCAGTTTGTGGGGAGGTCAAGATTGGTAAGTCCTTGGGATAGATTCGCCCCGGATCGTCATAAAGTAGAAGTTCCACCACTGCTGTAAACAAAAGACCACCGCCGCCTCAATGCTAATTTGAGGAATAAATCGCTTTTAATTGATTTACCCAGGAGGGCCTCGCTGAATCCTAGAACTACTCTTCGGGAGGGTCCTGCTACATTTGGATGTTTGTGCCAATTCCATGTGATATCTGAACCAGTCGTGGGCTTCTCTTCTCATTCATAACCCAGCACTTACCAACGTGGTGAAGTATGGTCTAACAACCCCCTGTGAACGATTTGCCGTCATTGTATATACGAAACTTTAAACTGAACACATTCGACAACAACACTACATTAAAATAAACAAAAAAACTGCTACGAAAAATAATATCCCGAACGTAGCCTATTTTACAATTGACATTTTTTTTCGGCCACAGCTGTTATTGACGAATGTGTCGACTTTGTTTTTGTTTGTTGTGCATGCGTGGTGGGCACCCACTGTCAACGTGGCAGCAGTAGCAGTGTCACCAAATTAATTGAATAATAACTTTGCCTGACCGATATTTGAGCAGCAGGGGGCACAGTGAGACACCAAGTCGAAGATGACGTCTGCCTGACAAAACGAGTTTGTGCCCGGATATACCTTCCGCGTGAAGTCCGCTGCAATTTCTATATTTCACTATTTGTCTACATGCACGCTTTGAAGTCATTTATAAGACTTGTGGAGAGACAATACCGAATTAAAGTTGAAAGAAAAGTGTGTCAGCGCCTTGACGTTACTCAATTAACCTAAGGCAGCGGCAATCGATTTTTACCACTAATTAGTTGGTTAACTTGAAATCAACCTCAGTCTAATTGTATGCACATGAATGTAGTAACTTCAAAATACACGCAGTGTGGTGGTTAGCGCGCTGCGCTACGAACCCGGCGACCCAAGTTCGATTCCCGTTCACGGCCAAAACCAGTGACGATTATCTGAACCGGTCCTTGGCATCCCCTCGGTCGACTCAGCCTCAAATGAGCACCTGGTGCGGCGTGGTAAACATCGCTACTGGGGAGATATAAGGCGGCCGGGTCGTGGTGCTGGCCACCCACCCCCTCGTGTACCGTGCCGACCAGCATAGGTGTTACTCCCTAACAACACTTGCCCCAACAGTCTGTTAAGGCTATACGAGGGATCTTCGTCTTTGTTGAACTTCTTTCTCACCGTACGTAGCCAACCGTGCTAATCAGAGGTGTCAGGGGGAAGGACGTGCGCCAACCGCGACTTAAATGACAAGCGTCTTGAATGTCCACTTACAGCGGCGTTCTTCACTCATCTGCAGAGGGTAGGGGGCCCACTTTCGCTTCTAAGGTATCATCAGCGTGAGGGCCGCCACACACTTGAAACCATTGGGGGGTGGGGGGGGGTGACAGCGGCACAATGATGATGATGATGATGAAGTTGGGGCGGTGTTGTCACGTGCTGTGTATTGTGTCGGGGGCCCGCACGTCAGGTGAGGCACTAAAGGTCACCAGGGGCCGCAGTGGCCCTCGAGACTTGCAATGTCGAACTCTGGAATTAACAACAGCAAGCAGTTGGGTGAACCTCACACGAGAAGCAAGAGCCTCCTGAAAATGTTCAGAAATTTGAATGACATGTTGTTGTTGTTTTTGTTGTTGCTGGGCACGTACACCGGCTCGTTTGGTAATCCGCTGCTGGATGAGGGGTTCCCCGTGCCTTGCGGGGTCGGAAGGGATATTTGACCATAGGGGCCGTCCATAAATGACGTCACGCTATTTTGGACGATTTTTAGCCCCCGACGACGTCACAAAAAGTCAGACCCCCCCTCAAATATGACGTCACAAAGCTCTACCCCCCCCCCCCCAAAAAACAACATGCTTCAAATCGCTTTAAACTATTGTCGTTGTAGCGCGTATTTAATGTGGCACTGCACTCTGATGTTGTAGGAGAAAACATTTATTAAAAAGTATATTTAACTAAGTAGAACGTTTTGATTTAAAGCTTTCGTGACTGCAGGGATTCATATTCTTGGTTCTTTCGGTGACTTTACCGAAAGAACCAAGAATATAAGTAGAACGTGTTGTTTGTATTTCTAGATTTGAAGCTTTCGTGACTGCAAGGATTCATACTCTTTGGTTTTAATCGGTAAAGTCACGTAGATAAAATAAAACAAAATAAAAGAAAACAATTAAATCACGACGTTTCGGAGGCAACACAAGCTTCCGTCTTCAGGTGGAATAGTCAACGCAGAATCTGTGTCAGGGGGGGGGAGGAGTCAGTAAGGGGGCGTGGGTGGGTGGGTGGGAGGGCTGGGTTAAGCAGCCTTTTGATAGGCTGCTGCGGGTAACTGCCACTTCGCACTGCACGAGAGTGGGTAAAACCCACCTTTTGTTATGTTGCGTGGGGGGTCGGGGGGAGGAAGAGACATGCTGCATTTTTTGAAAGCGGCAGCAAACGGCTGTTCAATTATAAGGTAGCTAAAGTTTGATATACAACCACTGAGAAAAGGAAATGGCTGTACAAAAAATTGAAAGGCAGCTAACGTTTGACTTGATTTATAACATCTTTCCAGTGATTGCTCAATTTGAAACCATCCTCTCGGTTGAAGTTGTGTCTGTGTTTGTAAATCTGGATGGCCTCGTGGACAAATCTCTGATAATAACCGGTAGGTTTGCAGAGCACCTTGGTATCGGAGAAAACAATAGCATGATCACCCACAGCGTTGTAACAATGATCAGCCACGGCAGAAGAATCCGTTCTGCCGTGTTTCAAATCTGATTTATGCTCGCGAATTCGGTCAGAGGTATGTCGCTTCGTCTCCCCGATATAGCAGTCCCCGCAGGTACAACTCAATTTGTAAACACCTGGGTACTGTAAGTCAGGAATAACATCCTTTACTGACGGGATCAGATCACGGATTTTGTGCACTGTGTTGAACCGGACCTGGGTCTTGTGTTT